AAAGAGAGGAAAATTGAAAAAATGAGAATATGGAATGAAAATTCGTTGTAAAGAATACCAACACTATCACAAGCCCACTTGATCATCTCCATTGCACAGCTAGTCAGAAATAACAGACTGAATGCAGTCCAAGCTAATTCTCCCAACCGCATTTTTGCTTGAGCTCCCTTTGAAAGTCTTTTGCTTCTACACAAGGCTTCCAGAATCACCTCGATGTCTTCTGTTGATAGATTGTCATTGGAAGGAAGGGTAACGGAGGTTTGCTCCGTTGTAGCCTTCTGTTCTTGAGATTTTCTACGGGTGTTATCTGGTGATGGATTGGTAAGCTGGAAGAATTATGCACTTCATTGAAATGATTTGAGAGACATACCTGACTTGACTAGTGAATGGATATTGTTTGAGAGTACAACTTCTGACATAATTGGGTTCACCAAGATTTCTGAGTTCAAAGGAAAATTTTGAAGAATCATTATCTGATTTTCATAATGATTAGTCTACTGATGTCTTACCTTTTTTCAGTGCCATTGGGGTGAAGGTTACTATTAGATGAAGATGATCAGCTCTTTTGTCAGAGTATATATTTGATTGTTGTGATGGTTGCTATATCTTTGCTTTTCATCATATCACTACTTCATATACTCAAGAATAGTTACTGAGCCTGTTTTAAAACAGGCTCAGTAATCAATGTTACAGGTTAGACTGACAACATTCAACTGTTGGCAATGAATATAGACTGAGCCTCGACGCTCATTTGAACTGAATGTGCCGACTCATTTTCAAAACAATCAGTTCTATGATTTGAACTTTCCACCGGTTGGGTTCAGAGGTCTAGTTACTGTCTGAGGGAGCGTTGGCTCCATTGTTCTTCACTCCAGGGTCTGAAAGGGTGGCGTCCATTGTATAATCTGGATTTGGCTGAGCACTGAACAATCCTCAGCGCTTCTTCATCTGTGCTGAACAAGTCACCAGCTGGTGACTTTGACTTGTGCATTCGTTGAGCCTAAGGAGGAATTTCACCACCCCTTCTTTCCCTCAAAAGGTTGACAAACCATCCCAAAAACAGCCAACAGTACAAATTCCAGGTTTATATCCAGAAATTAATTTATATTGACAAATCTTTGATCTTTATTCTATTACCTATCACAGTGTCATAAATCCAATCAATCTTCGTCTTGTTAATCAAATATCGTCAGTCCAAAGAGCAAAACTATGTCGACTCCCTCAAATAACACCGCGCCCAGATGTGATGTGTGCAAAATCGAGTACCCATACCTTGCAAGAACAACCTCGCCACTCAAATCCATCATTTGCAATCCTTGCAAGTGGATTAATTCACATCCAAATTCGGTTGATACTCATGTACCCTGCAAAATGTGCAGCTGTCGGTTTTTGAAACTGCCATCCCAGGTCTGCTCTCGCTGCAAAAAGCACTTGGCTTCTGTTGAACCAAGTGAGAAGGTGAAAGGCGCGCATACAAGCCTTTCCTTGATTCATTTCTCCCCACTCTTACTGCGATATTGCCTAATCCAAGTTCTTGTTTTGATTATACAGAAAAAAATAATATGTGGGCACCTGAGAAGGACTTAGGAGCCAAATCAAATGAGACAGATCAAGTTGATAGTTTGGCAAATTCACTTGATGGGTTGTTGATAGATGGAGAGTGTGAGTCTCCAGAGCACTTGACATTTTGATAGTGTCAATGGGGGTAGCTAATCGCATGTTTTATTTCTCACCTCTTTTTTAGCAAGGAACGCTGAACTCTTTAGCAACAGTGCCAGTTTGGCTTCTAACAAGATCGAACTGGAACTCCTTCCTCCTAGACCATCTGCCATATGGACAGATGGAGACTTGCTTATGCTCACCTTCCAGAAAGGTGAAAATAAACCAAACTTCCGACCTTATCCAGTCATGTTCCGAGTGGACAATGACGCCTTGATTGGCTGTGGACGATTCATGAGGTGCTACAAAGCTGAAATCAGAATCAGGCACACAGTACATAACGTTGTTGCGAAGAAAACGTTCTTTAAAGACGTTTCTTTATTACATTACCTGGATCAGGCTGAACTGTACTTCTATGCAAGTCGTGTCTTACATAACTTCAAGGACACCATACTTGAAAGCAGAAAATTAGAAACATCAGAGCAAGAACTCGTGGCTAAACTACGCGTGAGTCTCAACATATCCATACATCCATTCCCAGGGCCATTTTTCATAAGTTTTTTTACATGATGATTCAGTTTGTTGACCACTTTGTGGTTCAATCGGGAAAGGAGGTGTGGTATTTTGAAGAAGAATTAATCGGTAAATACGAGAAATTTGTTGGCAATCAGAACTTTGATGTGAAAGACTCTTCCAACGAGCTTCACCTGGTGCTTCATGCCCTGGCACATTGGGATCTTCATCAAAACAAAGGACGCTCAATGCTATGTGACTTTCAAGGAGTTGGGGGGATTTTAACAGACCCAGTGATGATTGATCTGGAGTAAGCACATCTGGTTTAAGTCTATTTCATCTACCAAAAGCTCAAGTCTTTTTTTTCGACAGCAAATCCCGGGGCAGTGGAAATACGAATTTTGCTGGGCTCAGATCTTTCATCAGGATGCACCAATGTAGTCACTGGTGTGACAAGCTTGGTCTTTCCCCGCCATCAATGTGGAAGAATGAACTCAACAAAATGTCCAAAGAATGATAGGCCAGAGAGGCTGCTAATGAACAATTAGTGTACATTTCTCAACGACACACAAATATCACAAGAATTTGAATCAGGTGGATGAAGGCCCTCTAAGGAATACAATATGTAGGACTTTTGGAGTATCAGTGTGCAGTGGAGGTTTTGGTCTCAAATTGCTTGATCTATTCAATTTTCTTCCAAATCAATGATACCAACAAGTTATAGTCGATTTTGTCGTGACGAGGCCACTCAAAATTTCACCAGTCAAGCCTGGCATTCTATATTCATATTGTTAAAAGTCCTAAGTTTGATGAAATGTAGCTACGGTGGCAGAGGCTTAGAAATCATATATCAGACTATTCATTGGAATTTTCTGTACTTTGGCAACATTATTTGTTTATTATCTTTTGTCTTTTATTTTTCTAACTTTTTTCTATTTTTTGAAAGTCTGCATTAAATTTTTTTCAAGGCTCTGCAAAATTGTGCTTTCTAGGTGCTGGGATGCAATCTCACACAGAGCAATTTTACACAGGTAATCTCGGTGTAAATGGAGTCTGTGTAAAATTCAACTTTTGGAGGTCAGTCTTGACTTTTACGCTGGGATTTCTTACACCCTAACCTAACTAAGTCCCTCTCGGCGAGCGAGCAGGCTCGCTCGCCGAGAGGGACTTAGTTAGGTTAGACTGGATCCACTTTACACCGGGATGGTCGGTGTGAACCTCCCTGTGTAAAATCCTCCCACACCGTTTAAAACTCCTATGGGGCTGAAATTGCTTTTGCCGAAGTTGGGGGCGCTGTACAAGCTGAAGACTTTCATGAGATCCCCACAAAACTAAATCACATTGAATTAAAAGGTGAGTTCTGGTAGACTCTTTGTGTACAAGGCGACTCTTGATAATTTGGTTTCAGTACTAGGCGGGTTAGGCCTAGCCAGGTGTAGTCTTTTGAACATTCATACAACTTTAAGCTCTTGAAATTGACACAATAAAGTAGTAAGCCAGAAAATTAGATAGAATACAAAGTCCTAGAGACCCATAGAACTCTCCTTTGCTCAGATTCCTAGATCATATCAATGTAAATACCTGTTTGTTCAAATTCATACGAAGTGGTAAGCTGATGGTAAGCAAACATAGCTCCACCAACAAGCAAAACAAGCAGCGGAATCGTGTAAACACTAGATCTGACTGAAGCTGATATCAGCTTTTGACCCATCAATCCACAGCTTCTTGAACAACTTACCATGGTGTTGATTCTCTCTTTCACAGCTTTTGGGTAAAGATGACTGAATGGTTTGACGAGCTATATTTCTTTGGTCCAAATGGACTGGGTTCTCTACATATAACATTCGAGGTTCTCAGAATGGAGAGAAATCAAGCGTGTGGTTCTACTGAAAATTCGTCTACGCACCGTTAGGCATTACTGATTTATGCATTTCTTCAGAACATGATATTGAAGTTTGATTTTGAATGGCTTTGAGTTCATGAAGAGACGTGTTGTCTGCAGGGCATTTCAGCTGTGATGTATCATCTGAGATAGGAACCAGAACAATCAATGGCTTGTCATGTGGAAGCAGTCAGTGAAAATATGCAAGAAGTACTGCCCACCAAAGTGTTCCGACTTGAATGCCGCCTCCACGTCTTGTATTTTTTGAAGAATTTTTTCAATTAGAGGTATTTCACTGGAGGTGGTTGGTTTGTTCATGATAGCTAAGACAATTTTTGCCCAAGAAACTATGTATTGAAGGTGTATTTTTGGTTCGCACTTTTCAGGATGAAGATCACGCTTCAATATGCAACCGCGTATTTGTCTACCTCTGTGTTGATGTGAATCAGGGGGAAATACTATTTGTCTCTGTTGTTGGTTCAATTCTTTCTTGAGCTGAGAAAGACAAAGAAAAAGCTGAAATCAAGAATTGGTAAAGGCGCTCAGGTTCTTTGTCAATGTGAGTCGTAGGTGAAGCTTAGGTCCACCCCCTTAATTACCTAAACATTCAGAGTCGGCATAAGTTCAACTCCCCTTGGGGCTACATAGTAGTGTCTTCCTTTGTTTCTGTATAAGGGTGATGTTGATCTCAGATACAAAGGGCTTTGCGCTTAGCTCAAGGTACCCGCATCATGTGACTGGATTGATTTGACCGTTGAAGCATCCCAAGATCCCAGATTGATCAATCAAAATCCGTAAGATCATTTTCATCCATAGTTTATTGATACCCCTACCTTTTTCAGATCAAACAAAATATATCCTTGTGATTTTATTGCTTGTTATAACTTCCCTCGCCATATCCTTCAGATCTAAGTGCACTTTACTACGTCCAAATCCTAAACCCAGCATGGAAAACCCAAACAATTCAAAGCTCGATTCGCTACAGGCCTTAAACGATCTCAAGGTGAGCAAGTTGACTGCCTTGATATTCATGCATTTGAGTCAATCTGACAAACATGCTTTGTAGGTTATGATTAGCCAGATTCAAAACGTCCACGAGAGTACAGAGGCTCTACGACAAAGCATTGATGACTTAGAAGTAAACATCTTGTATCTCTCTTTGTGACTTAATTGATGACATCGAGAAATAACCTCATATGTATTGTGTTACTAGGCCAAATTCGAAATGTCATATATGCAACACAAAGCCCAACTTGAATCATTGGTTCGTTCTCATGAAAAATCTACGCTATTCCCTTCTTCCCCTCTTGATTTACGCATATATTGGTTTTCAGCCTGACAGAACAGAAGTCACAGTTCGTAATACTTCAACACCCTGCCTATTCGATTGGCGTGAGCTATTATTGATATGAAACTTGCCATGTCACCTCATTACGGCACAGAATCTTCGCACCTTGTTCAGCTCGCACGAGGAGAAGTTTTCCGAGTTGTTAAGAAGTCCCATTGCTTTACAGGAACATATCAACAATACTGGTATAGTTGTGTGTTTCTGTTGAATCTGTCATTTCATGTCAAATCCTTACGATATCATGATGTTTGTTTGTGGACTGGGCAGGAGAAAAAACTGGAAGATCGGCTGAACTCACTCACAAATATAGAAAGTCAGCTGAGCAGCATGAAAGGAACTGTTTCTAACCTGTGTGATGATGTTGGAGTGGTGACCTCTCAGATTAACGAGCAAGGCTCGGTAAGTTTTGAACTCTCATTCTTCAAGAAATATGTGCTGCTCATATGATAACTAAACTCTGTGTGTTTGGTAAACACCAGACCCTAAATGTATTGGATGCTAGACTTGATGCAATGGAATTCAAGGTGGATGAGCGACAAACTGTAAGACTTTAAATGAAACTGTGAAAGCTTGGAGCCCTTCTGATGAAAACGCATACATCTTATCAGGACGAGTTAGCAACACAAGGCGAGTTGAAACGCTTGGGTTCTTGCAACCTGCAGTTGAAAAATGATCAGATACGACTAAACAACGACTTCAAATTGGTCCAGTCCAAGGTCTTGAATGACCGCCAGTACTCTGAAGAACAAATCAAGTCTATGCAAAGCGAGATGCAACGCTTGGATTCCTGCAACCAGCAGTTAAAAGATGATCAGGTCCGACTAAACAAAGAGCTCCATTTGTTTCAGCAGAAGTTTGATAATTCCCACCTTCACTGCTCCGGAGAAATTAAAAAGGTGGAAGAAGTTTTACATACACAAATTCAGTCCAACAGAACCGTTTGTTTTTTCCCTCTATCCATGATGCCTATTTAAGATAGGATAGCTTACTTAGTTAAACTTGCTCAATTTTTGCTTATGCCAGGCCACAAGTTTGACCGAAAAAACCTGCCTCGAAAAAATCAATGTTAGTCATCAATGACTCCTGATATGGGATTCCTAGAATTGAAAAGCTCTCTCGGGTATAACAGGAATGCTCTAGAATAAACGAAGATCTTGCAAAATCTTACAATATGCAGCAGAAAGCAATAAGATCCCTTGAGGAACAGGTGAAACTCAATGAAGTCAGCTTTGGTAAAAAGCTACAGTATTCAGAAGAGCAAGTAGACAATTTTGAGCACAAAAGACTATCCCTGACAGAGAGTATATCAAAGCTTGAAAGTCGCGTCAACAGCATCCCCGACCTCCCAAGCGCAGGTAGCTCTCAATCAGAACTGAGCCTATCCAAGGGCTCCATAACTAAACACGAGTCAGAAATAAAGGTATGCTTGTGTTTCCTTTCATGAAGATGAGTTTGTAGGTTCACTGAAAATCCCATCAAACACAGAGCTTAATTTTAACGCAGTCAAGATTATCACAGACACTGGAGGTCGGTCTCAACAATGCTGGATACTTTGCACAGTAAAGCTCAAATTTTTCATTCTAATTTCACAGGCAATCACAAAAACACAGAAAGAATTTGAAGAGAGATTTCAACTTGGCCTAAACAGATTGGACCATTCATATCAGCAGATGATGTGCCAGCAAGAAAAATTTGATGGAAGAATGATAAGTTTTGAGAATAGAGAAAACAACTGTGTAGGTGAAGAATTATGTATCAGATATTTCCATATCAGCTGAATTCATGATCCGTGTTTCCATTCAGAACTTTCCGAGAAGGTTGGAAACTCCCGCATCCCCATCAGCCATGCCAATCTCAGTAGGTCATATTTCTCAACAGCTTACCGTCATTTTTATTTGGATAGTTGGTGCTTTTCTCACATGTGCGCTAAATTAGACTTTGTCGAGCCCGAATTCAACTGGATCAAGTCTGGTTTGGTCTGATGCGAACTCTAATGAAGTTGTAAATGAGTCTGAGCCATGTTCAATAACCACAATTAATGTGAGCTCCTCATCAGCCAGGCTCATCACAGTAAGTGGTGTAATCTTTTATTGGCCCTGGTTATACATATTCATGATTCTCGGAGATGTTTGATTGATCAGCCTCCTCTTACAAGAAGCCCCACGGAATTGATTCCAAACAAATCGGCTGTGGATTCTATGGAAGTCGATGATCAATCTGACTCCAGTTCACGGACGCAACGACCGCTTTTCCAAGCACAGGACCGCGAAGGGGTTGGTTAAAAACTCAGTGACACTCTTGACCATGTGTTTACTGACTCAGATACTGCTTTAATCAGTCTCAATCTTCCATGATTGCTAGTAGTTCATCTTGGGTAAATCAGACAGCAAACATGGACAGGAGACGTGCAACACCAAATCGGCAACATACAAATGCATTCTCTGAACCAAGGGTACGTTCCTTGCCCCCTTCAGGGAATATCAGGAGTATGAATTATACAGAGGACAATGATGTTATACTGAGATAGAGTTGAACCTGCTACTAACGTATCCTGTATAGATTTCAAACTCCCATCCTTCATTGACATCCATCAATAGATCTACACCTGCTGATATTCCTGTCACCCCGGTTCAACAAACGAGTCACATCAACCCAAGTTCCAAACCAAAGTTATGGGTGCGACCTTCCAAAAGCTCACAAAATAAGCTCACAGCAACTTTAAGGAAACAAAGGGACACAATGACCCCAGAGAACAAGGATGATGATCAAAATTCAGTAAGCTCATTGATTTGAACACCGGTGGATTGAAATAAGGCTGTACTTGAATGAGCTAAAATTGTGTCTGGTTGTAAAAGTCTAAAGCTATCCAGCAGCATTTTCGATACCTTGCGGGAGTTAACCGGGAAAAAAAATCCTTCCCCAGATCTCCGACTCGTGAAGATTTGGAGAATTTACCAGAACTTCCTGATGGAACCGCACCCCTTGGTCTATCAGCTCCATACATCCTCAGAGCTAATCAGCTCTCACAAGAATGGGCTGATGATGACGAGATGGGCGAGGGCTTTCGAAATCGCTGCGAGCAAAGACTTAGACAATACGGAATCCCTTACGTTGGTTTGAGCTCTGCACGAAATGACACAAAAGCCGAAGAATGGAACCGAAGGACCTTGGAGTTTTGCTTAGACATGTTTAACTGTGCAATGGATGGTATGGAGTATGAGGACTTATTCCGATTGGATCGTGCAGAGCTTGATGTTGACAGAATCAGGGTGCTAATGGTGACTCATTTGAAGTATCGGATCAACAACAAACGTATTTTTTTGAAAGATAACAGTAATCTAGAAAAACACATGAAGGAAGACCGCCGAGCCAAGCGAGCCAATAATGTACGTCCTGTTTTCTTGTGTTCATGATCATCATCATAAGACTAAGATTATGGTGGTACTCGCAGCTCGCAGAGAGACGTCATGAAACTTGTCTGAAGTACGAGGATCTGAATGTTTACCAGGATCTTTTCCTGGATCGCCGGTACTGTTCGTCTGACGAATCTGATGACGAAGTTGTGGAAGAGGATCGGGTGCGAGATATTCCGCTATGGCGGAGCCGACTAGGAACTGGCTTAGTTGAGTACATCGACAACGCTTATCGTCAATTGAGACAAGAAGAAATTCCTAGACGCCCTGGAAGAAAACCAGGGAAGCGCAATACATCTCAAACCGCGCCGGTTGTAGGCTCCTCGAAATGGCCACTAGGTCTTCCTAGTGATTGCTATGATTCCAGATGGGTTGCAAGCCTCAACACTAAAGAACGCAAGGCCCTCAAAATGAAGCCGGCAGCGTTGCAGGGTGTGTCTGGACTACTAGATTGAAAACACGAGGGGATGAGAGTCTGGTTTTTTGTTATCAGTGTTTGAGCTATACTCTATCAAACGGCTGGTAGTGGATCATGCTATTATTATAGCATTTATATAACTTGATTCTTTACATGCTTTGATTTTTTTCCTAGTGTACATCTCATATCTTGTCTTGATCATCATCACTATTCTCATGTAATACACATTTTTCTGGGACTTAATATACATGTGAATCTGAGGACTTAATTTTTCTGAAAAGAGAGAAAAAATGTGAAGTTCAAAAAAGATTCACAAGACGATGTGAACCTCAGATGAGATTCACAAAAAAATATGAGCTCAGATTTTCTGTCATGCTCAAATATTTGCGGCCTTTTCTTGAAAAATGGGGAAAGTGTTTTACAATACAGTGCTGTAAAACTTTTCCCAATTCATAAAAAGAACCTTAAAAATTTCTTTCAGATCTCCTTCTAAGCAGTAAAGTTACGCCAAGTTAACTTTACGCAAATTTGCGTAAATTTACTGCTCATAAAAATCTGGGATGTTGTAATATTATTATGCAATTGGGAAAAGTGTTTTACAGGTAAAGTAGTAAAAAGATTTGACCTGAGCCCCCCTAATTTTTTGAAAATTACGCAAAAAAAACTTGAAACACCCTAATGTAAACCTCCCAAGAAATAGCAAAAAGCAATAGAAATCTGAGGACTTGATTTGTTCAGATAACAAATAATAAATGTGAACTTCACAAAAAGTTCACAATGAAATGTGAATTTTAAATGAAGTTCACAAAAAAATGTGAGCTTTGGATGAAGTTCAAATGTCATTGTAAACTTTCATTTTGAACTGTTTATGGAGTTTACATTCTTTTGTGCACTTTGAAAAAAGTTCACAATCAAATGTGAACTTTATCAAAAAAAAAATTACATTTTGAAAAAGGTAGACACAAATTGGGTTAGCGTAGACCTGAAGTTCACATATTTATGTAAACTGCATTTATACTTCACATTGTATTGTGAAGTTGTGGTGAAGTTCACATTTAATTGTGAACTTCATCTAAAGTTCACATATTTTTGTGAACTTCATCTGAGACTGAAGTTCACATTATGTTGTGAACCTCATCTCATTTCATTTTCTCTTTACGTACTTGTATGCTACAAAAATTTGTATTATATAAAATACACATACAATTTGTATTATACATAAAATATGCGTACAATTTGTATTATACATGAAAAAGATATGTGTACAATTTGTATCATACATGAAATATATGTGCAATTTGTATTATACATAATATATGCGTACAATTTGTATTATACATAAAATATGAACCATTGGAAGTTCATATTTCTTTGTGAAGTTCATCTAAAGTTCACAATGAAATCTGAGCTTTAGATGAAGTTTACAAAAATGTGAACTTCATCTAAAGTTCACATTTATGGTTTGTTATCTGAACAAATGAAGTCCTCAGATTTCTATTGCATTTTGCTGTTTCTTAGGTGGTTTAGAAAGTTGGTGTTTTTTCCGTAGTTCTACGCCAACCCAATTTGTGTCTACATAAAATATGTGTCATTTAAATTTAATGAAATCAATAAACCTTTTTCAAAATATCAACAAAATTTTGATAAAGTTCACATTTGATTGTGAACTTTTTTCACAGTGCACAAAAGAATGTAAACTCCATAAACAGTTCAAAATGGAAGTTTACAATGACATTTGAACTGCATCCAAAGTTCACATTTTTTCGTGAACTCCATCCAAGGTTCACATTTTACTGTGAACTGTTTTCAAAGTTCACAATGAAGGTTTACAATGAGATGTGAACTTCAGAAAAAGTCCACAGAAAATTGTAATGTTTTTGTGAACTTCATACAAAGTTCACATTTTCTTGTAAACCTTTTCTGAAGTTCACCCCTTTTTGTGAACCTTTTCTGAAGTTCACATTTTTTTGTGAACTTCATCTAAAATTCACATTTCATTGTGAACTTTTTGTGAAGTTCACATTTATTATTTGTTATCTGAACAAATCAAGTCCTCAGATATCTATCACTTTTTGCTATTTCTTGGGTGGTTTAGGGTGTTTCAAGTTTTTTTTGCTTAATTTTCAAAAAAATTCTGCAATTCCTACATGAAAAGCAAGTGGGATTGAATCGGATGGGAGGATGCGATAATACATCTGGGGTAGAATCGCATGAAACGAGGCGAGGTTGGATCACATCTAAGTGGAGCGATGAAACAATTTGTTCGGATTTTTTTGGTGCGATTCCATGGGTTGAATCGCCTGCGCATTTGAGTCGCATTTGATTGATGCGATCTTGAATCGCCTGAGCGGTTCAGTCACATTGAGCCGATGCGATATTGATTCGCTTGAGGATTAGATCGGGCTGAGTTGATGCGATCTTAAATCGCATCTGAGTCAAATCGCACAAAAGGATGCGATTTCACAAGTTGGATCGCATGAAACCTGTGCGATCTCACATCGCACAGGCTCTTCATCGCATGTCACATATGCGATCTGAAATCGCATCTCAAAACGCGACCTGAGCGCGCATGCCACAATGCGATTCAAATTTGTTGGAGGTGTCCATCAGATCAGTAATGGTTGGATACGAGAAGTATTCAAACGCGTACAGACTATGGGATCCAAAGACTTCTCGCATACTCATATCCAATGACGTGGTGTTTGATGAAACAAATCTTCCTCTACGAAACCTTGACAAAACCTCTTCCGAGGAGCTGACCATTCTGAATGACCCGATGTGGGATGAAGTCTGGGAAACTCCCTGCTACTCCACCTCTAACTCCGAATCACTCAGGAATTTCCTAGATGTACCGCATGACCTTCAACTCCCTCAACCCGTTCCCACCGCACCTCGTCGATCCCAACGAAATACTCAACCTGTCGAAAGGCTCGGCGACTTTGTTGGATATCACACTGTTGCAGAACTGAACCAATGCCTCCATACTGAAGCAGATGACGGTGTTGAGGAAGACGAACCATCCTATTCACGGGCAATGAAAGGTCCAAATCGCGAAGACTGGATTGCTGCAATGGCCAAAGAATTTATGTCTCTTCAGGTACATGAAGTTGGACGCCTAGTTGAACCACCTCCCGATGCCAATGTCCTTCCTGGTATGTGGCGACTGAAGCGCAAGAGGGATGAATTTGGTCGAATAGTGAAATACAAGGCAAGGTGGGTTGCGGGTGGCAACCACCAGATAAAAGGTATTGATTTTGACTCAACCTATGCATCAGTTGGTCTCACCGACACTCTCAGAACATTGTACGCACTTGCCGCTAAGGAAGATTTGGAAATGGAGCAATTCGACATTGAAACTGTGTTCTTGAATGGCAACATGAAACATCGAGTCTATGTCCGACAGGTCACAGGATTTCGCGACACTTCCAAACCCAGCCATGTGATGGAACTTGACAGGTCACTCTATGGAACATGTCAAGCTCATCGTGAGTTCAATGAGGACCTTGATAACAAACTCAAGAAGCTTGGATTCAAGGTATGCCCTGTCGACAATTCGCTATACACACTACGGAAAGGATCATCATTTATCCATATCCCAATGCATGTCGATGATGGCATGACTTTTTCCAATGACAAGTCATTTCTACGTTCATTCAGAGAAAATCTAAAGCAATTCTACAAGTTTCGTTGGAACGAAGCTCCCACCCTACACCTTGGCATTCACATCACTCGAGACAGAGAACGCCAAACCATAACCCTTGACCAATCTCATTATGTTGATGCTATTCTTGACCGGTTTGGAATGTCTGACTGCAACGGCGTGAAAACTCCACTCCCTCAAAATGTCAAACTTGTTACTCCGACGCAAGAAGAATCCACTGAAATTGAACCCTATTGGGCAGCTGTCGGTATGCTGAACTTCCTGTCAGTACAAACAAGACCCGACATATCATTTGCTGTCAGTTACTTAGCCCGATTCAACTCACGGCACAATGCGTCACACTGGGCAGCTGTGAAACATCTCCTACGATATATCAAACGAACTCAAGCCTACAGTATTCAATTCGGCACTAAGAGAGCTCAAAATCTGTTGATAGAGGGGTACGCGGATGCGGATTATGCTGGTGATGTTGATACTCGTTGTTCTACGACAGGATTTGTATTTTATGTTCATGGTTCCCTCGTATCCTGGAAGAGCCGTCGCCAACACTGTGTAACTCTATCCACAACAGAAGCCGAATATTTAGTGATTGGTGATTGTGCAAAACACGGGCTATGGCTCTGTCGGTTAATTGAACACTTATGTGAGGAAGAATCAATCAATGTCCTGATAAAATTACCTCTTTCCAACGACAATCAGGGTGCTGTTTTTTTGTGTCATGAAGCGTCCGTCAATAATAAATCCAAACACATCGATATTAGACATCATTGTATCAGAGAATTGACACGTGAAGGAAGAATCTCAGTTTCTCATGTTTCAACAAAAGAAATGCCTGCAGACGTGTTGACGAAGGCCGTAGGTGCAAATATATTAATTTCAAGTTATGATCAATTAGTTATTAGTGAAATGAAAGTTAGTGAGCAGGGGGGGCTGTTGGAACAAATTACATTCATATTAATGGTTTCTGGTTTTGTTTTCTTTATGTCTTATTTACTTATGAATTAACATGTGCTATGAATTATGTTCTGTTACATTACTCACGAACTTTGTATGTCTCAAACCTAATAACATGATGTATCACTCATTATAGTTTATCAAATCATCCGGTTGGGAAAAAGCTTTCTTTCTCTTTCATTATTCATTATTGAAAGCTTTTTCTTACAACACTCTATATCATCTTCTCACTCCGGATTATACCTCCATTCTTGATTACTGACTGATATAAGTGTTGTTTTGGATTGATAAAGGTATGACCTTGTTGTTTATTGTTATGTTTAGTTTCATTTGTTATTTGATTAAGAAATTTATTATTCATTATTGAAAGCTTTTTCTTACAACACTCTATATCATCTTCTCACTCCGGATTATACCTCCATTCTTGATTACTGACTGATATAAGTGTTGTTTTGGATTGATAAAGGAATCAAAGATTCCTATAGACAATACATCTGCTATCGAGGAGACTGGGGCAGGTTGACCTGAGCCACTGGTAGTCACAGCTCTGTGTCCCAAACCACAAATACAGGTCTGTATGTTCTGTATTTGAGTGTTGTTTGAGAACAAGTTTCAAAAGAATCAGCAACCATGACACAGATCTGTAAACAGCTGGAACACTTTTACAACAGGTATGTACAAGAGCATAGAGATTAGATAAATTGAAGAAAAAAGTACACATATTGAATGAAGGAAAGGGATGATAAGCAAGAACAATATATTGTGTGTATGTGATGCTAGGTATCATTCAAAGTTGTTATGGGGATTTGTTGCCTTTCTTTTTTCCTTCAAAATCTTTCATGGCTCATGAAAAGGAGGTGATGTTTGGCAACAACAAATGATCAATAAAATAAATCACATATAATGATATATTGGACTGGCTTTTTATCAGACAAAAAATCTTTTTGCCCCCCTCTGTTGCTTGGACTTTGCCAAACTCGATCAAATTTTTGACTTTACTCCACACCCTTTTGACAACATCCATTATCTCCTTCACACTCCTCCCTTTCATCAATCAGCTTTCATTGTTTTCCATTTCAATTCCATTCAATTTTATAACAGCTATTCATTTTATAAAAGACTGTTCCTCCCTTGCCTAGGTATCATCTAGGTGAGGTCTTTGCGCCTAAGGATAGTTTCTTCAAAACTCTCTTCACCACAAGACCTGATTGCGGAGGAGTTTCACAACAGGCATTCCTTTCCGGGAGTGTTCTACGGAACTCTCTGGGAAGTTCCCTACTGAGAGCTTTAAAAGATGTCTTGGCTTTACCTCCTTGTAGTTCTTCATGTGATACATATATACCTGTACTGAAACTGTCTGGAGGGAGGGTGGGAGGACAAAGATTGAAATATCAGTTAAGATTATAAAATGGGTTATGGTAATTAATTATTACAAGAATGAAGGGATGATGAGTAAAGAAATAAATTGTGGAAATAATAACGAGAAATAGGGACAGGAATGGTTCAGGATAAGGAGTATAGTTTGTTCATGAGCAATGAAGAGTCCGCGGCAATATGATTTGTTGCTGTGACGTGTAGCTCCTGGGCACGCCATCCATTCAGTACCTGTTTCTACTTTATAATTTTACTCTTTTTGTGATTTCTTTCCTATGAAGTTACTTCCCTCCATGGACATTTCTTGCATTTTTTCCTCGAGCAAGAAGGAATCAGCTTTTTACTTTTACTTTGCTCCGGTGTTTCATAGTGATATTGGTTCCTTATTTTACTTTTTAATTATTGTGCTAGTCTTGTACATACTAGTCATCCCTTTTGATTTTTTTGTCATTATGATGGAGTCAGAGATCGGTTGTGATTACAAAGTTATGTGTCCATAATAGGTATGGTTTGTAATATCCATGGTCAACTGTGGACGAAGTCCAAAATCGCGTGGCGACAATGATGACCTTTGAAGGATGAGTATTACTTGGTTCTAGACCGAACTTCGAAGTCAACATTTTGCTACCTCAGCGAGCTTGTTAACGTGTCACCCAACCAGGCTTCTTTCACTTTCATTCTTGGTTGCCGCCTGTCCATACACACCGTTTCCGCCTAGTTAGACTCAGTCAAATGTATTAATTCTTAGTCTCAGGGTTTTGGGGCTCCGGCAAGTCGCAAATTGCAGCGTTTGGCTTGAACGGTGTTGGCATAATCGCAAGTGGGATGAGCACCACCTTTGCTTTGTCGAAAGCTATCAAGTATTTCATAATCCCAAGACCAGTTGCAACAGCTCAGAAATTTGTAGGCCAATGCAGCGTTCCGAGTTCAAGATCTTATCCATACCTGCTGGCAAAGGCCACGGCGATGTGTCTCCTCGCTCCTGGTTGAAGTAATCAAACTATCATGGCATACTGACTTGGGCTGTTCAGTTACTGAACCCACGCCAGCTGCGTGTTTGTTCTCGCATCTTATTCCCCCAAAGATAGGCTACACAAATTTGCTTAAGTACCCTTCCTCTCCTCCAGGCCACTTCCGCATCATTCATCCATTCGTATTCTATACCATTACCCCATTCTTACTATATAATTGTCAATACCAACTTCCATATATTCAAGCTATATCAAAATGTCTCAAACTCCCGACAGGAAGTAAGCATCATTTCATCAACATGCCTCTCTTCAATCATTGCTGACTTCAAATCATCAACATTCATCTCACTCACTCTTTTACTTGCAGTCTTCGTGTGTTTTTGATGTTCCTTACTATCTGTATCTCAGTGGTCATCTTCATTCTCTCTGCTCGAGGGTGGAGAATATTGCGCGACGCCAGGGAATACTTCGAAAGGGCAGTCCCCAATGGAATCGAACTAGACGCGTATGATCTTATCGCCGTGACAGGCGCGCTAGTTGCGGTTGCTGGATTTGCATCCCTCATCAGCGTAAGTGAAACCTGTTATTATCTGGACGTGAATGATAGTTTTGCAAGCTCTCCTAATCATTAATACTCACGTATGATATCTTTGCAAATTCATTGTCGTCTGAACAGTTGGCATCTTCGGTAGTCGTCTGTGCGGGTTCTGCCGGATTCATCTCTGCATTCATGTTTCTCTTAACAGCCGTAGCCATGCTAGGCGCCCTTGCCGTTGCTATCGCCCTCACTGTCATCATAACCACTCACCATCCGTATATCAACGCTTCACCTCTCATCAATCCAGGTCTCATCTACAGACTGATCAGCACGAGTCCAATCACAGCTGATTACACTGAAATCAACGTCGTGACTGCTTACACACTCATGAGTTGGTTCCTTTGGATCATCTTGATCATCAGGTTTGTCTTCAAAATCCAATTTGCATTGGTCATCGCATGGCTGACTAAATTGGTTTTAAAGCTTTGGGTTTGAGGCTAAAGCTCTACACGGAGCAAATCAAATGAAAGGAATGCAAACGGGATCGAAAAGATCGGTGGTTGTACCTGCACATCAAGGCCTAGGGGGGCACGCAGTATAATCAAGTCTTAAGATACAAATAAACAAAGGAAATTAGCAATTTAGGGCGTCCCCCAATGCCTTGGAACGTTTGGTATCTGTAGTTCATCAGTTTTAATTATGTTCAGCTTAATTCTTCAGTGAAGTTTATCAGTTTGCCTCTTCTTATTTCATTTTCTTATGTACATACCAATTTTACGTTTCAGGCTTTGTCCAGGTGACCTGAGAGATATATCCACGTATACTCTCCATCTCCCATTTTTGATTTGCTCTTTTTGTTTTTATATATTTTTTGTCTCTTTTTAATCTTTTTTTATTTACCCCCTCTGGTTCAATATTCATCCATTTAAATTTATGCTTTTTGATCTTGACCCGTTATTCAGACATCAGCTGCTCTGATATATTGCTTGGCACTGCTCTCGAAGTCAAAGTCATTGATATACTAGCCACGACGTTCCGCAAGCAAGAAAGTCTATCAGTAATAAAGGGAAACTCCCAAGATTTGTGGTATGAGATGGCAATGTTTGGTGTGTAGATTTCTTGCCACCATCCACACTTGAAGCGCATTCCGATTGCCCAGCACTCACTTACATGTCAAGCATCTTTCTTGCTTCTCAAATACTCTGGTTTTCCGCTGCACCCTTTGATGAGGTTAGAGATACCGGGGCGTATCTTTTTTATTCTTGATTGTACGGTAAATCAAAACTCCCTAGTGGATAACAACATCTGCTTTGTAGCTATCGCACAGGTGAAAGCCCCAATACTACGAAGCAGAATCCAAGTCACTCTAGAAGTGTCTTTGAAGTTAAGACGACAGTTTGATGAGCGGAACCCAAAGCAAAGCAGACAAGTTCATCTTCCCCACTATCGAAAGGCAACAACGCTCAAAATAAATGAGGCAAACAGGACAAAATATATCCAGATAACGATTGTCACTTCAGATCAATACCTCACGGGCAGAAAGAAAAAAGATTACTGAAAGTGCTATATCTCAAACACAACAACATAAGCTCAACGCAACATAGGCTCAACGCAACGAAGTATCACAATAACATCACACCATACAAAACAAATGAAGCAAAAGAAATTTCATTGCACTGAGATGCATAAACGCAGTGAGGTTTCGACTACACAGACTGCGACGAAAAACAAAGACAAAAATCAAATTACTGGCAAAGAATGAACTGGTCAGCCAGTCAAGTCTACATGGCTCTTCCAAACCTACCTTAAGTATCAAACATGATCGAATATGATGTGCCTCAAAAACCTTCTTCGTGGTCGTTGTGTGCATTCTTCTCTTTGGATGCTGAGACTGACACTTGCTGGGTTTTTTCTGCTTCGGCGAATTCCTTCTTTTCGAGGACCGAACTACCATCCGTGCCGAGTTACATTTTTATCAATGGTCATTTCGTGATTTAGGTTGTATATATATCAGGTGAAGGAGCAAATTCCTTACGCTAGAACCAAGCCAGTGAATAGCACCCAGCCAACTACAATTAGGCCGATCACAGCGTTATAGTCATGGTAGTAGAGGCTTATACCACTAGCTGCGACCAACTGATCCACTAATGTCTGGGGTAATCTCGCGGTAACAGCAGCGTGCCATGATGCACCAATCACTGTTCCTGCTATCAAGACAGGCAGGAAAACAAAAGCTGCGACTCCAAATGATAGAGATACCCACTTCTTGGAGCGCTGAGTAAATCGAATAGTGCTAGTGAAGATCTGATATGGCGGAATCAGGCAGATGGTACAAGTGAAGATCTCAAGGATGACAAGATATGGCACTCAACTGATGCGACCAATGCAACTAATGAAACCACGATCAGGGCAATTCCGACAGAAAGGATGGGTTTTGCGAAAAGTTTACCGCCCGGAAGCTTTGAGGAGACTAGTTTTTTCCGCTCATTAAGAATCGAAAACGCTTTGATCGTCAGTCCAATCTCAGCCACTGCTAATGCTCCGTTCAGGAGACCGCAAACGACGAGGAAGACCCTTGAAACAGATTGATTGGATATCAGATATGTCGGTCAAATTCATTCATCAATCAAGGAGGGTAGAAGCAGTACGCACTCGAAAATCCTTTTAGACATCCTCGAAAAGCTGACTCCAAGCCAATGAGGAATCCTATGAAGCGTAACTTGTGTTCTATTGCAATCAGAGTTGAGAAGATTATAACCAATCTGAGCCACAAGGTACAGCCAAATCACCGTCAAACTTAGCTTGTGATAATCTACAGTCAACCCTCGGACGGTCTGTACGAAAGTGCCAATCAAAAAAGATGGAAGACTCACATGCAATATTGTTGAGTGATTGATGAAGGTAGACTGACGAAGCACCGATGGAAATTTCACGATGAGCAGAAGCTGACTTACCTTGGTGCAAGTCTGGTGCAAAAAATTGAATGCTTTTTAGGGAAAGCTGGTGGGGAGTTTCCCGATGAATTTGAACATAATGGCAAATTGCAATAGTTGTCAAATTAATGAACAGATGCCGACAGATGCGTTCAAGAATGACATCTGCGCTCCTGATCTGGTGCAGTGGCCAGTGACGCGGACTTCGTACTTAAACTTATCGAGCAGGTGCCAGGGACTTTGTTAAGTTTGGGACTTCGGTCTACATACTTCGCTTAGGACCCCGGAAAGCTCCAGGTCAACTATCCGTCCTAAAACCACTCAAATTGACCTTTTCAATACCCTGTGACGCGGTAAAAACCCAAAAATTGAGGTCAAACAATTCCGGTTTCGTCGGTACGTTCAAAGGGCAAAAATCACTAAAATTTCCTCACGAGACAAATCCATTCGTTTTTTGTCGGTATGTACGTTGAAAAGGGAGTGTTTTTGGCCTTTTTTTCCGGCCAAGGACAAATCCATACCTGTCAGGTCGGTACGTCTGAATTCAAAAAAACGGGTTTTTGCTCGAAAAAGACCCAAAAAATTCCTTTTTCGTCGGTACGTCAGCGTTTTTTTGGACCCTCGATCCATACATTTTAGGTCGGATAGTTCACCTGGAGCTTTCCGGGGTCCTCTTCGCTTCCATCATGATTTTTCTTATCTCGCATTTTGAAACCTCGATGAGAAGGGCCGAGGTCTTTGTGAGAGATGAAGGGTGAAGTTTACTGGAGGTTTCAATTGCTCGAGCCTCGAGGGTGTTGTAGTCGGTTCTCACGCCTACGTGGCACGACCGCGGCGCAGTCCCGATCGGTCTTCTATAAGAGCCGGCAGCTCAGCATCAGCTCCGGTTCCACATCTTTCTCTTGTGGAACTCGGAGCTCTAGTACAGTCAAACCGGAAAAGCTTGACCGATTTTGCCCGCAAAACTCAAGCAAATTGGCGGGGAATTGGTGGCAAGCTTTTCCGGTTTGACTGTAGCTGAGCCTGTCTCTTATAGGTATGCAATACAGACATCTTTCTCTTGTGGAACTCGGAGCTCTAGTAGCTGAGCCTGTCTCTTATAGGTTATGATCCCTTGCTCCCGTGCATCTCGCTGAGCATTGTAATCGTCGATTATTTCGACTCTGTCTGTTGATTCTTCAACTCTGTTACCGTCGAGTATTCGACTCTGTCAATCTGTTACCGTTGATTTTTCGACTCTGTCAATCTGTTACTGTTGACTGTTCGACCCTGTCATTCGTATCCCATCTGTTACCGTCGACCATTCGACTCTGTCATTGTCAATCATATTTGACTCTGTTTTATCTCATCTAAATCATCATCTGAAGAACTTCTCCAAGTATGCGACGTACTCCACCTGTCACACGCAATCGAGGAAGCCAACAAGGCTCACCTTCTCAACGAGGATCACCGTCCTTTCGTGGGTCATCTCGTGGCTCTCGCGGCCAAGGCAACACTCAAACCAGCGCGGAATCAGCACCACCGGAAATGCCAACCAATCAGCAAGATGAACGCTCCCCTACCCTCACGGTTGGTAACCAAATCAATCCAGTTGGCAATCTCCACGATCAGAGCCCCCCTTTTGCCGACAACGATCAGACCATGCGATGAGACCCTGAGAATCTGTTCTCTTCAACACCTGTTGGACATTGACAACCTCCTCCTCATCCTCAATTGACTCGTACTCTGCACCCGCAGCCAGTGAGACCCCACCAATTATCGTTTGACAACTTTATTGGCAAATCTTTGGATCCAACTGTACACACCAGATCCAATATCCATCTACGCTTACAACGTCTTGACAAACTTGCTCCAACTGTCGAGAACTTCACCAGGACAATGGCAAAATTGGATAGCGATGGAACCAATTTTCATACTTGGTTAGAGGAAGCAAATGCCAATGTTTATTTTTTAATCGGCAAAGCGGACTACCTTAATCATCCTTCAAACCCAGCAAATCAAATCCATCCCGAAATCAATCACGCTGAGAATACAATAGCATATTGGGTGATCTATTACTCGGTGACGCCAGAATTATGAACGGTGATATGTTGTGAACAACAATCGTTCCTTGCTCACAACGCATATCTTATCCTGTCAAATCAATTCAACAAAGCAGGATGATCTTCTCAGCTTGCTACCTGGCGATCACTGATGAGTACTCAAATGGACATCTTCAAGACATCCCTCTCTCAACATCTAGAATCGTTGGATCGATTAGCCGACGCCCTGGATCGTGATGGCTTTGTATGGACACGAGACTTGGTTATGAGTTTGGTTTATCAAGCTTCAATGCCTGATAAACCTGAGCTCAATTTTGATGCGGCCAACACAACTCTTGACTTACGCTGGTCCTACGACAAACGTCCATACAGCAGCACGGAGATCTGAGCCGCTTTACAAACCACTCTTCTCAATCTTAAACGTCATCATACAATGGATGAAGTTACCGATTCAATCTCATTATTAAGTGTATCAAAAGAAGATTCAGTTTGTCATTACTGTAATAGAACAGGCCACTGGAAAAATGAATGTCCTAGAAAGCGAGTCTCTTTTGCTCATCACTCCTCAACATCAAGCTCCAATACAACTAGACCAAATAAGCACCAACCAAATTTGCCTGATCACTCGAGAAACGATCAAAAATCAAATTCAACTGAATCAAGCTCGAACACTTCAAAAACACCCTCGGCTCACGCTGTTTCCGTTGATCCCGCTTATGAAGAAATCCCTATGAATCCAGATGGAACATTTCCAGGATTTTTTTCATCAGAAGGTTATATTCCACCTTCCGCTATGTCCATTCAAATTTCACCAGAAGCTTTTCTCGAAACTGAATCTGCGGCTCGCGAAAAAGCTGAAGGATCGGACATCCCGATTGAATACTTTATGTGACACTCTTGTCATCATTTTTTGGATCTTTACTTGTTTTTTTGTGCTTGGTCTTGATTTTCTTATTTGTCCTGAGTGTTGTCAATTTTTTTCTTTCTTTGATCTCGAAGTTATCATTTTAGAACGCCGTTATTTAAGACGTGTTTTTTTTCTAACTTGTTTTTTTTTCATCGTTTTTTATGATTTCTGTCTCCGCAATCACAACTTCCTTCCTACGTTGTTTCAAAAGGGGGATCAGTTTTTTTCTTGTTTCTTTATACGGTTGTACGCGCCTTGTCGTGGGGGGGGTGTTGTAGTCGGTTCTCACGCCTACGTGGCACGACCGCGGCGCAGTCCCGATTGGTCTTCTATAAGAGCCGGCAGCTCAGCATCAGCTCCGGTTCCACATCTTTCTCTTGTGGAACTCGGAGCTCTAGTAGCTGAGCCTGTCTCTTATAGAGGGGACTTTTTTTGGTCTCAGGCCTGGTGATCATACACAACTGCGGCACATCAATTACCTGCTCAGGCGTGTTTTCTGTTCCGGAGTTCAACATCAGTGTGGAATTGAGCTTGACAGTGTGGAATCCGATTTTGTAAATATGTGTTTCAACTTTCTTGTTTTGCTCATTTGTCTTGCTGTTCACTATAGGTACTTGTAATCAGTGTGGAATCCGATTTATACGGACTACTATATGTGTACATGGAGCTGGACACAGGGCATCAGCTCTGTTCCACATATTTATCCCGTGGGACTTGGCGCTGTGGTCTTACCAGCTGAGTGTTGGTCTCTTTTACACATTTTGTAAAGTGTATTGTGTCCTTTCAAACTGAAAGTGTTCATATGCATTGATAAACAACAAGGTAAACTAACATTCCTATAACTAACTTGCATAAGATATTGAATTCTCCGTCTTTACACAGCTTATCTTCCCTAAAACAAAACACAATGAAATGCCAACCCTCTCCTGGTCTGGGAGATATTGTTAAACAATCCTTTGAATTTATGGTGATGATGAAGGTCTGAGGAGTAAATGGTCTTTGTTGTCTTGATCCAGTAGATGAAACTTTGTTGGAAAATTAGGATTGAGATAATTGATGGTTCTATTCATTGACATACATAGAAACTAAGACACATGAGAGGGTTTTTTCAGCATTATTTATATATAGATTTTGATTTATCTGTGACAAACTTGACTGAATATTATCTATGAAGATGTTTGTTAAAGATTGGGGACTTGTTGAGGCAGCGTACTGTGCAGTCAAAGATGACCAAGTCTTGGGATTGTCTCTACACAAAGCCATCTTTGTTGGTGTGCTACATGTTCCTCAATTATTTATGGCACAAAACGTGGGATAGATTACAAATTGTATTGATTAGAATTGCTAATTGATTTCATTGAAGCGTCATTGAGGCCCTTGTTGTGATATATTGTGATTATGGTAGCTTTGATTTGGTCTTCATCAACAAGGAAGATAGACAGGCTCAAAGAAAGGTGGAGTAGGGATGAAAGATGATGAATAAAGCACCATCAAAAAGATACAGGTTCTGTGACTGGAGTGAATTCAGTTTGATTCTCGCAATCACTGATGGCTCACCTGTGAGAGGCTGGTCTGAGTGTTGTCATCTGAGTAAAGTTCAGGCAAGTGATGAGTGAGCAGAGTTCGAGTATGAAATGGACTGAGTCGGTGATTTGTCCCTTACTTGAAGTTATAAGGATCCATTCTTAATTTTGATTTCAGTGAAGTCAGTGAATTTAGATCAATAGTGGTTCTGTTAGAGTGCTGAGGAGACCATCACATTCCTGCTCACATTGGGTTTTCTAACCCAGTCTAACCCATTTCGATTTTACGCATTTATTTTGGTATTCTTCAGAATTCTTTTCATCAGATACTCATAACTTTCGAGATCGAGACTGTTCAGCTTCATCAAATCACTTCATCAAGCTGAAGCATTTGACAGGCTTCTAGCGTCCGAAAGAAGATTAGAACGGTGAACTTGGTCGTATCAACGAATGAAGCTAAAGCCCCCACTTACCCAAAAACTTTTTGTGCCAGCAATAGGACTTAGTTGGGTTTGGTCGAATACGGCCCGGCTGGGCTCTTCGAGAGTAGCTCACAACAGGATGAATGACAGATATCGGGACTATGTTACCGTTACCTCTGCCAAAAGGCGCATGAATATGAAGTGCAAGACGTGCTATCGAGGATGATCCGAATACATATATCGTGGAATATACAGTAGTGCTGCAAGTTGCAACTAAATGCGCTGTAAGACTCGAGCGGTTTAGAAACCGAGTAGAAGGCTTTATAGCAACAAGCCTCATTTAGCTGCAAGAGGCTCTTTTGGTCAAGTAGAGTATGTCGACGGTTGCTTGGGGCGTCCACCCGGTGCTCCACCGAAGCTTTCCGAGAATTGCAGCATAGAAGACAACTCAATTGCGAACCGCCGCATGGAGACTGGAAAACGAGAAGGCAAACCGAAACAGGAGACCAAAATGGGCTCGGCACCGGAATATATAAGCTGACCTTCGTTTCTCGGGGTTGATTGTACCTCAAGCATCCTCTACTTCCCCTTTTTAAAATATTTTATAATTTTTCTTGTTACCTTTCTTTGCCAAATCAATTTAAATTTCAGACAGTCTGTGACTGGTTCTTTTTTCGATCGCCCCCTTTTATTTGATCCGCTTCTTTTGGCTTCTTGTCTCATAAAGCTTTCAATTTCTTTCTGTCTACATATTCTTAAATCCTTCAACTTCGAGTCCGATCACAAGATGAACACCTCCTCTTTGTCTATCTTCGTACTCTCTCTTTTCGCCTTCGCACGTGCTCAGCAGATTGGAAAATTGATCCCCGAAGTTCAACCTAAGCTCAATTATCAGACTTGTACCAAGGCCGGTGGATGTACGAAGCATAATGGAACTGTGACGTTAGATTCTAAGTGGCGTCCGGTTCATGCCGTGAACAGTACCAAGAAATGTCTGAGTGATGGCGGTGTTTGGGATCCTGAACTTTGTCCTGATGGGTTGACCTGTGCTAAGAACTGTTCGTAATCTCAAACTTATCACTCTATGCTCAAAAAGTCAGACATAACATCCAACTGATGATTACTTCTGTACATTGATTCCAGGCGCGCTGGAAGGTGTTGATTACTGTGATTTTGGTGTCACGTCGGACGGTGATTCACTTAACCTGAAGTTAGGCATTGAAAACACGAAACGTCACATCAGTCCACGTGTTTATCTTTTGGACGACAAAGGAAAGTATGTCTCGATGAAATTGAAAAATCAAGAATTCACCTTCGATGTCGACCTCTCTACTCTTCCTTGCGGTACGAATGGGGCACTTTACTTGAGTGAAATGGAAGGTGATGGTGGAACTTCAAAATTTCCCACCAACAAAGCTGGTTCGATCTATGGGACAGGATATTGTGATGCACAGTGTCCTCAAGACGTAACATATTTAGGTGGAAAGGTTTGTATTTTTCTCAATAGTATTATCTATCAACTTCAACCTCTTTGAATTTCAAGTCTGATGAACCCACATTTTTTGATAACAACAAACAGGTTAATCTCGAAGGTTGGAAATCAGGTCCTGATGGTACCGGTCAAGGAAAACTTGGATCGTGTTGTACGGAGATGGACATCTGGGAAGGAAATTCAGAAGTTAACGCCCTCACTCCTCACGCTTGCCGAGGAAAAGGTCCTCAAATCTGCGATGGAGATGCTTGTGGCCCAATCTGCGATAAGGGAGGCTGTGATTTCGGACCTTTCCGATACGGTGATCATGATTTCTTTGGTCCTAAAAAAACTGTCGATACCACTCAAAAGTTCACCGTTGTGACTCAATTCTTGACTGATAATCAAAAGTCTACCGGTCAGCTTACTGAGATTCGACGAAAGTACATTCAAAACGGTAAAGTGATTCAGAATAGCAAAACAAAGGTGCCATCAATGAAGTCCTTCGATTCACTCTCTCCCGAATTTTGTAACGCATCTAAGACTGCACTCGAAGGTGGTCATAATGACTTTCAAGCTAAAGGAGGATTTACGGCTATGGGTGAATCTCTAGAGCGAGGAATGGTTCTAGCAATGAGCATTTGGGATGATCACAGTGATACTAAGATGTTATGGCTAGATGGTTCCTTCCCTACTGATTCCGATCCGAAAATGCCTGGTGTCCTTCGTGGACCATGTACTCCAGAAAATAGTAATGCTACTTTTATTGAAAAGACTTATCCAAATGCAACTGTCACATTTTCAAACATTCGTTTCGGTGATCTTGATACAACTTGTCAATCAGCTTCAAATTCTTCTTCCATCTCAAACACCACTCCTCCACCGATTACCAAACGTAGCACCATCAGTCACTCTCGTCTTTATTAGCCCTGTCTGACAATCATTTTATCCTTTCTCTCGTAAGTCGTGCTATTTTTTCTCGATCACATACGCGATCTACCCCACTGAACGCTAATCCATTATTTGTTCTTTCCCAAACCGCCACCCTCCCTGAACAGTCTTTGATCGTGTCAGGTATAGAAATCATGAAAGTACAATAGTAGCTATATGGCTCGATCATGGCCACAAGTTGATTTTGTAGATTTTTATTTCGCTTTTAATGCATTCCATTGTTTATTCTTTTCTTTGTCAATTTGAAAATATTTACATTTTTCCTTGTGGCAATACAATCATTAACTATTTCAATTCTACATGCATAGCTCGCATTGATTGAGGTTCCAGACAATGTGAGAGACCTTTTTGTAAGTGAAATGATCAATTGAGAGACGAAATTTTGCCTTGGTATGAGTGGCAGGTAACAAACATCAATCGTCTCTCGGCGTTCTCATCTCACATAAGTGACGTTGTCAACCTTTGAATTCCAGTTACAACTTGAGTCATCACATGCTGCTGGTTGAGGCTGCACTGATTTGATAATTATACACTTGAATCTGTAACGCGCCAGTGAGTAATCGTTCTCATCCTTTCTTAAGTCAGCAGCAGATACCCCGTTAGTTCCACGGGAACTTATTCGGCTTCCCTTCAAGTTTTGCCATTGCCCATGAATTACCATCTCCCACACAATCTATCCAGCTCACTGAAAATGTATTTTATTCACGCTTTGCATCAATTCCGGTTATTTACGTTTGTCGGTTGTCATCATGACGGACCTCCATTCCGTCAAAGCTGTTCTTCTTCATAGTCACAGCCGAGAGGTCATTGTGAGATAGGCTCAAATACATTGATTGGGAAGGCATTAAAAGATTAAAGAATATGGGTTTAAGAATTGCATGATGTGGAAAAAGTCAAGGTATTTGATGGAAGCTTCATGTGGTAAGCAGTGCTAAATTTACAGAAGCTTGAAATGACACACTACAACTTGAGTGATTGAGACTCTGATGGTTTATCACTTTCAAAGTAGATACATAAGAAGTAAAGTTTAGATACTCTGACCATAGAAAGTCACCTGAAGTTTGATATATACAACATACAAATCTTATTGCTTTCCTCAAGATCTCAGTAACTCGAGTTGAAGCATACAAAATTCTAAATACAACCGGTTTTATTTTCTTTCAAAGGACCAGTAGTGGTTTGCATATCAACTGATGATCTTGAATCACTTTCTGATCTACTCTTCATTCTAGAATAAAATTTAATAAAAAGAATATGTCCAACAATAGAAATGAGAGCACAAGTAAAACAGAAGATTGAATTTGCCATGAACCCATTAGTAAACTTGGGTGAATCAGACCACAAAAAACTACCATAGATCGATGCTGAATTACCGACTAAGATGAAGTATTCAAGAATTTAAAGCGACAATACAATCAGCATAAGCTGGTTAATGATTCAACGTTTAGCTTCCTAGTCGTCTTACCTGAGTTTACAAGAGCTTGTGATACTGCGCGTTTTGAATCAGGATAATTGATTTCTTTTGAAAGCCAGGCGAGTAAAACAGGAAGAGCTCCCAAGTTAGTTGCATATCCTATGCTATATCTCACCAGTCATGTGTTGGTTATATCAGTTCTCTTGAAAAGACATGAGAGATTTTATGAGAGAAAGAATTCTAACCAGATGAGACCGTAACGAGCCTCTGAGTTGGTAACTCTAGTACAGATTGCATAGGTCACTCCAGCAACCGCTGTTGGGATTGCTACATGAAAAGCGCGATTCTTGAAAAAGTCGGCCGAGTAGGAGATGGCCAAGACGCCCACGAATGCGCATACATAGATAGGCACAGTCATAAATTGAGCTGTCTGACCAGTATATCCAAGTGTACGAGTGATGGTAGGAATGAAGTAAGATATAGTGGTTCCACTAGTGATCATCAAATCTTAAAAGGTGATATCACAAATCAATCTCATGCATCCAAAGTCGTGAGGGAAGCAAGTCGTAGGAAAATCCGGGTCATCCCACTTGACTCACCCATCAAACAGAACAAGTAAACTCTCCAATCTGTCACAGTAGCCTTAAAAGCTTGCAAATGAGTCAAGTTTAGTGTTGAATGTGCACGAGCTGGTCGGTCGGCTGCTATTCTAGCTGTTGCGAGCGCGCGTTGCTCTGCAGTGAGCCATTTTGTATTAGACGGCCAATCAGGCATGAAGAAGATGACAACTATTGACGCAAGCATTGTGATTGCTCCCTCGACTAAAAAAACAAATTAGCTCTGATTGGTCACAATTTATCTCAAAGAAAAACTCAACTGATAAAAAGCCACCTCCATCCACGGATCCCCCTAACCTCATCCATTCCTGTGATCACACCGCCTGAGAGGAGTCCGCCTTTGTTGGTTGAATCAAGGTCAAAGAATTTCACCAAGTCAAGCTTTTATCACGCATAAAGACAAAGTATTCTAGATATGAAGAAAGGAGAGACTCACCAAAAGCGCCCGCCATGATTGATGCAGTGAATATAATCCCAAGCCTTTTTGCTAGCTCTCTTCTCCTATACCATGAGGATAAGAGGAAAAGCTAATAATTTTAAAAGAAAAGATAACGAAAAAATCACCGTCAGAAATGACCAATCGCTGGTCATGAAGCCTTCACTCACTATACCAGGAAAAAATCCAGATCTGAAAGAGATTCAACAAATATAAGTTAGATCAAGTTTAAAGCACTCCTTTCGAGTTCGAGCAAATTTTAATCGGATCATATATATACTCACTCCATAAATCCTAATACAAATCTCACCCCAATCAATTGTTCCTTAGTTTTGACTACAGAAAGTAAAGTAGCTACCAATCCCCAACTAAAAGTTAGAAAAGGAATGAAGAGAGAAGGTCGAAGTCTTGTTAACAACATATTGCTTGGGATTTCGGCTAGTCTGTTTTTTTTCGGTGGAATTATAAATCAGGATTTTTCTTTGTAAACACCAATGGAAGATCGTTAATATAACTTGAAAGATTATCTCACAAATATCCTACAAAGAATATCAATACAGCTAAAGAATAATCTTCGGGTTTGAGTTTGAGATCTTTTTCCATCCCACCAATTCTTGCATTTCCAATCTGAATAATTTCGTTCAAAAAACAAATGTTGGTAATTTATCCCAACACTATCAGATTCTAATTGAACGTACACTTGACCGGTCGAGGACTGCTCAAAGATATCAAGTGATGAAACAAAAGAGAAAGGTATAGAAGTTAAAGTCTTGTAAGTATTGATGATACCTCTTTTACCCAGTTTGAATGAAGTTTTCCTGACAATTCAAAAGGTATAAGATACATATGCAAGGCAAACTGGCGGTTCACGAATCCCAGGAGCTCATCATTAGTATCTGGAAAGCTAAGTGTGAAAACCATTCAAGCTCGTATTCGGAGTTGGAATTTATGAGGAATGCTTACAGGTGTAAGTCAATAGTGTTGACCAGCCTTTTATCTTCTTGACTTCCAGGTATATATACTCTCGGTGAGTTCTCAAAGATATAGTTGAAAGGCTTTTCCGCGTTGGGATGCTGTGTGAGATCAGAGTCCATCGCACTTGAAAGCGCCGTCCGTTCTATTGATGAATCCTCTTTGAGGAGCGATTGATCTTGATGAAATTTCTCTGAGCCTACCGCTGTAGATGAGCCAGGCCTCGAAGCTGATTTCGATGGCTCTACAGGGCCCAAGGAGGCCGGTGCTATTTCGACAGCTGCCATACTATCACTAGGTGTGCGAGGCGATTTTCACTATTTTCTCCCAAAGACGCGTCTTAAAGTACTGAAGCAAGAGCAATAGTCGAAGACGCCACTACGTGAATGAAAACGACGTCATGTGGGCTCAAGAATCAAATAGAAAAGGACTATCCGAAGATATCATGTGATGGTAACCGCCCAAGGATAGAAGATTCGGAGATAAGTCAACAGAACTCCGTCAAGTCTGTTCACAAGACTTGAAAAATACTGAAGGGAGGACGATGATTCTGGATTTCTGCAATCCATCACTTCAACCGATGTTTACCCTAACTTACACAATTGAGTCCCAGTCTCTTTCTACGGTTGGAACTTGGTGTGTGCTTTTGTTGAGCTAAATGTTTACCCTTGTTCAAATGAGTTCACTCAAACTAATCTCCTCCAACAAGGGCAGACTCTGCTGGCCGCCGCCTCAGGCGTTTTTTCTTATTGCGTATTACACCATCCTCAAGCTTTGGTGTGATACACAAGCGGGGTAAACCTAAACTTGACAAATTCCGGCGAGGCCGACACGCGACAAATACGACGAATACATCCTGCCTTGACGTCAGAGTACGCACCCAACATCTCTCAACCAGATGGATCCTTGAGCTACAAAACCAAGCCTCTCAACCATACCCAACTTTGAGTACCCTACATAATGGAATTTAAAGCCATGTACAGTTTTCTTCAATTCTATAATGTACTCCAAAAGCTCATACATAAAAGGATCTATGTAATTTCAGATATCTTCATACATCAATCAATCCTCTTGTCACAGAGGAAGAAAAAAGGAAATATACGCACATATAATATATCTGAATAGAAGCACAAAAAAACACACCAAGAACAAAATCAAAAACCATCTTAAATCATGTTCACGTAATCCTCATAACTAAAAAGACAATCCACCAAATTTTCAAAAAACTGATCTCATCAAGTCAAAAAACCCTCATCTTTCCTTTACAAGCTTAAATTTTTACATAACATATATAAATCACTTTCAAATCATCAAAAAGCCACACACACACAACACATTACAACCTATTTTTTTCTTTTTTTTGTAGTACATCTTATATTAAACCTAAAAGGAAAAAAATCCGAGAACAAAACAAGCCATACTACATATATGTATATATAGGATCAATGATGACTTGTTTTGATATATATATGATGAAAGGTCTACAAAACTAATTTCGATTTTTGATTTTTGATTTTCAAACTGAATCTGAGCAAAACCCTCCCACTTTTCTTCCATCCTTTTTAACAAAAAAACACAACAACACTAAAAAATAACCCATTGATTTACATACATACATAGCATCACATCACTTCACTTCAAAATAAAGAAAAAGAAAAAGAACTCGATTCCAAAAAAAAAAAGTTAATCATCATAATAAGATATATATGGATCAGTTTTTCAGATATATAAGAGGGAAAGAGAGGTAGAGAAAAAAAGAATCCGATCCATCGATTTGTCCAATCCGATCTGATCCAAGACCTTACGCTTTGTTTGTTTCTTAAAAAAAAGAAAACTCTTAAACAGGATTAACACTAGATTTTAATGATTGTCTAACCAACCCAAAAGAAATCAAAAAAATCAATTCCTATCACAAACCCTCTCTTTTCCAAAAGAAAACGAAAAAAAACCTACTCTGAAATATAACGATTAACAGTTTCATAAAAAGGAATGACCCGATCCATAAAGCCCCTAAACTCATTCAAAACCAACCCGACCTCCAATTCCTTCTTCTTCTTCTCCTTCTGCAAACTCCCAACCTTCAAATCCTTAAAGAACCCAATCCATTTCCCCATCAATTCCAAATCGACCGCCTCGACTTTCTCTCTCTCATCTTCCTCACCTTCTTCTCTAGCTTCCTCATCCTTAATCAATCCTTCATAGGTTTTCCAAGCTTCTTCTCCACTTAAATTGATCATTCTTTCTACTATATGGCTTTCAAAACTTCTTAAAATATGGATTGGTAAACTTGGATTCCGTTTGAGGATTTCTTGGATCGGTTTCATACTGTTTGATGAGTTTAGATTCGGTTCGTTTGATAAATCTACTTTTGTGAGTTGGTGGGCTACGGTTTCTTTCACCATCGTTTCTACTATTTTGAGAATTCGATTTTCAAGATTCTTATCAAATGTAGTCTAATCAGAAAATCGTGTTGAGTCAACTTAGAATCAGAAAGCTCATAACAGAGAATAGAAAGAAACTTACTGTTCCTGGTTGAACCACTCCTACATCCGTCTTCGATAGGTTTTGCTAAACGAATCAAAAAAAAAACGAAACCAAAGATCAATACTCTCTCTCCCGAAATGAAAAAGCAGATCAAGAGTTTCAAAGCGGTCAAGATGAGCTATCAAAAAGATTCTTTTAAAATAGACCACTTTACACCATCGACCTTAAAACCCCAAAACCTAAAACTCATCATCACCAGCAACACTAAATGATGAACTCACTTTAACTTCCTTTGATATAATTTCAGTACACCTCAAATCGACCTCTGAAATCTTTTGTTCCAAGACCTTCGATCTAGTCCACAAGTTCTGAATCTCCATCAAATGCTCACACCCGACCAGCGGTAAATCATTTTTTTTCATCAACTCCAAATCTTCCGTCCCATCCTCTTTCTGCTTTCTCTTCTTAATAATCAAATCCTCATCCACTTTCAACGAGTTCACAAACTTCATCACCTTCCTCATCTTTTCCAAAACTTCTTGATTCACTTCATTCTCTCCTACCTTCGTCTTGATCATCTCACTTAACCAATTACTATTCATCAGTCTATGACTTAAATAACTATACAATCCTTCGAGTTGGTGTAAGCTGAATCCTGTATTGTTCACACCTGATTCAACAGGCGTAGGAGATGATACATGAGTGGTACGTAAGTGATTAACTGTAGCGGCTTTTAAAGTCGTGTCCACTCGTAAGGTCGGGTTAGGAGCACTTGACTTGTGAGCGTTCGGTACCAGACTAGGGTGTCGAGAGGTAAGAGATGATGGTCTGGCTGGATGATCGATTGGTGTAGTAGGATTCCCAGCATTGGATGGGATTGTTGATGGATGACTTGGATCTGAAGGCTGAAGAGCAGGAGTAGAAGGTACACGAGAGCTATTCACTCCTGAATCCTGACGTCGCGTTTCTTCATTAGGTGCTCGCATCGAAACCTCTTCTATAGGCTGTGATGAATCTTTTCGTAACGTGTTAGGTTCATCAGCTCTCACCTTTGAAGAAGCTTGAAGCCGTTGTTCTTCTTGTTGAGCTTCTTTAAGTTTTCCAAAACTGTTTTCTAATTTACTGACTCGATCTAAACAAGGCACCAAAACTTCTTGACAAACCTCTTGGATTTCAATCACTTTAGTTTGTTCATTAAGTTGTTCTTTCTTAGAAATCTCACTTTGTAAATCTTTTAATGATTGAGACGTTTCTTGAACAGTAATCGTTAATTGAGTGATCCGTTCTAATGAAGCTTGATGACTGGCGTAAGTTTGATTGATCTGGACATCTTTCCTTTCATCTTCTTTAATCTTCATAGCCAATCGATCGTCCATCTCTTTCAATCCTTCAACTCGTTCATTCAAGCTCTTTGAAGATTCTTCATAAACTTGCATCGTTTTTTGAAGTTTCAGGTATTGTAGTTCTTGATGTTTTTGTCCCAACCCTTGTTTCTTAAGCTTACTTTCTAACTCCTGGAATCGAGTATCATAAGCTTTAATCGAATTGTTCATCTTCTCTTCAAGTTCCTTTAAAGAATTGCCCGATTGACTTTCCAATGATTTACATCTACCCTCGAGTTTACTTTCCAACCCTTTCAAACTTTGATCCAACAAACCATTCCTATCATCTGATTTGCCTACAAACTCTTTAAAATCCTTTTCACAACCTTCAATCTTAATCATCAATTTCTTTTCCAAAGCTTTCCTTCCTTTCTTATCTTCATCTGAAACCTTATTTAACTTTCCTTCAAACTCTTTATTCTCTTGAATAACCCTAGAAGTCTTAGACTCGAAATCTTTCAATGATTGTAAATTATTATTCAACTGTTTCGATATCTTTTCATCATGTTCTACTCTATTCTGATCCGACAAATCTCCTTTCTTCATCATTTCTTTAATCCTTTCATCTTGTAAAGTTTGAATTAAATGAAAATCACTTTCTACCTTTGCAATCTGTGTGTTCATCTTCTCCTTAGTTTCTTTCATCCCATTCTCATATCCCTTAATTTGTTTTTCCTGAAAATCTAATCGAGATGATTGTTTAATGATAGTTTGATGAAGTTGATCAACTTGACATCGAAGTGAATGATCAGCCTGATACCCTGTCGACAACTGTATCATCGTCTTACTAAGCGGTTCAACTAATCTGACCAACAAAGCTTGAAACTGACGATCCGATTCTTTTAATCGGTGAGATTTCTCAAGTAATTCAGCTTCATAAACCGATTCCCCCGGTTCGTTTTCCGCTAGTTGAGCTGCATCAGCATACATTCCCACTAATGCTTCTCGTTGGGATTGTAAGGGTGGAACTTCACGGATCAAGATTCGAAACGTTTCGGTTAAGACATTTTGGATCGAGTTGAGAAGATCAGTTGGATTGGTGGTGGTTTGAGAGGTCTTGAGTTCAGATGACATGATAGGGTTTGATGAATTGGTTGAAGTGGGTTTGGTGTTTGTAGAAGGAATTGTGTCTTTTATAGTTGACTCATCTTTTTGAGTTTGATTTGGTTTAATGACTTGTTCGTTTGTGATAGCTGGATCTGAATGAGTAGTAGAGTTATCCTTTATACAGCCGTTTCAAGAGAGGTTGACAACTTTTTTTGGAGAAAGTTGTCTCCGCAGCGGGTAAAACCAGAGACAAAACTCAATTTACAGGTTTATTCTTTTCTGTATTCTTCCAATCAGCGGAGAGACAAAATTGGGTGAGGGACAAAACAGGACAAAACCCGGGTTTTGCACATTGGCGAGATTTTCAAAAAAAATCAATCTTTGTTGAAACAGCTGTAAATTCGATATCTGAATCATCTTCATATCTGTAAGTAGCAGTAGGATTAGTAGTCTTAAGTTTAGATTGATTATGGTTAAGAACAGGTTTTCGATCTACTTGAAATAAAGATTTAGCTAATGGAATGTTATCTTCTGATTCAGATTCAGATTCTTCAAAGATTTTAGAAACACCAGTAGAAGTACCAGCACTAGTACCAGTCGTTTGATTTGATTTGTGTTTCTTATGAATCGGTTTTGATGAACTTGGTATCATAGATTGTGTTTTTCTTGTCTTGTTATTACTACTATGACTACTTGTTGTGCTTGGATGTGATCCTTCACTTGTCTTTCGTTTTCCAGTCGAATTAATCTTTCGAGACTTGAGAGGAATTGCAGGTACTTCTTGAGTTTCTTCTGTCATTTCTTGGTTGTAGTTGTGGTTGAGAAGTTGAGAAGTTGACTCAAGTTTTGGTTAAAGTTGATTTTTGGTTTTTTGTCAATTTCATTTTCAAACTCAATTTGATTTCATCTTCTATGTATCTTCCATGATCTCTTCATCAAAATACTTACTGCGGAGCATATACCTTACCCCAATCAAACAATTCAATTGAACTCAAGCATCTCTCTATCTACAAACTCATCTTCTTTTTGTATCCCAAGCACTCAAGAAGTCCATTCGGCTGGCCATATTTCACAGCTAAACACAGCCTTGAAAAGAGCTTGAAGATCCACTTTGTATACAAATGTATCAACAAGTGAATTTCTACCTAATTACCCTCCATAATCAACATCTCAAATGAGAAAAGTAAAACTCATCACTTGAAGTTACACTCATGCATCCACTTATTTAGAAGAAAACTCTTCTTAAGCCTTCTTCAACAACTGCTACTTTACACTTTTCTCCCAGACTGAAGCTTGTATAGTCAAACCCTTCTAAAGCTGCACCCCTCTAAAGCCTTAAACCCTCTATAGGCATGGTTTTTTGGTTCTCCCAACTTGGAAGGGGCCAAAATTTGATAAAATCCCATAGTTTCTGCCTAACCCATTAAGCCATACCCAGAATTCAGAAAAAAAAATGATCTTTTCAATGTAAAGCCATAGAAAAGTGATCAATAGGCAGGTAGGAATCCTTAAATTCTTGCTCCTGAGTATTGTTGCACCAAATCAGATGCACACCATGACTGATCAAGAAGACAGTTCACCGCCACCAGAACACTATGGCATAGTGGCCATACTGTTTGACAAAGCAACTTCACCTTACATCACACAAATTGGGAATCAAAAATCTATGTTGCTGTCTCTTCCTGCTCAGACAACCCTCTAAAGCAATGTTGTTCATGTCTTTAGAGGGATATTCTCTATGGCGGCAGAGAAACCACCCTCTAAAGCCATGTCTTTCATGCCTTTAGAGGGATTTCAATGTATAGCATTGAATGTATGCCTATAGAGGGGTTCCCCAACAAAGACATAACCCCTCTATAACCATAGGTTTGCCTTTCCACCAAGGGGTATGGCTTTAGAAGGGTTTGACTGTACATACTGAAATATCCAAGCTTTTTTCCTGTGTAACTTCCCCGCTTTATTACCTTCATCAGTGGATTTCTTTGGGTTTGTTACTCGAGTGTGATTATAGTTTTACAAAATATACGAAGATTTGGTACATGTATTCCCAATAAGATCAGTTTGATCATCAAACTATTTTTGGTCTTGGCTGGTTTTGGTTAACTCTTTTTTGAAAGATCGGTTCGTAAAAAGAAGCATTCAAGAGAAATAGATGAAACGTTTCTTTACACAAGACGGATGGATACCATGTACGGATCTAAAATATGGATAAAAGAAACCCTACAAAAGATCAAAAGGAAAGATGCAAAATCAGCAGGGAAGATGCAAAATCAAAAGTGAAAGATGCCAAGCAAGTTTTCTAAATCGACAAGAAACTTGATTCCTTAAAGTGGGGTGCATACATATCAACTTCATATTCATTCTAATAAAGCTTTAAGAGTTTATGGAATTTTAAAAAACTCAATCAACTTCAAAAAGAAATCATGAACGTGTGTATAGTTTTTAACTTTTTAGGAGATAGTCATCAAACTAAATCCTATTTTAACATTCCCATTCGTCATCCACATATCACACCAGTGAAGTCGTAAGTTGTGAATCGCATGACCAAAATTATTCTCGCGGTGTTTACTTCAAAAACCGTCTAGTGGAAAACCCTCTTGATTTCTTTAAAGATAAACTGATTCTTTAGCACATAATCAATTCCGATTCCGATTCCTACAAACTCATAAAGAGTCGAATGATATCTTTGATCTAGGAATTTCTGAGCTAGGATTCACAACTTTTGGTTTAGTTTTCCATTCTGGTGAGTTTAGTAAAGAAAAAGTCATAAAATAATCCAAAGACAACAATCTTTCCAACAAGTTACTGATCATAGGACTCATATTCTCAATCGTTCAAGTCTTCTAGAAATCTCATGACCAAGGTATCGATCAATCCGAACCGAAGCAGTACTTTCCCGCCCACAATCTTTCTACCCAACTTGAACTTTTAGGCTTTCGAACATCATGGCCAACAATCTAAGCACAGTCACAGCGAGTGCAGTGAAAGGACCTACACTGAAGCCTTCATCAGTTGTTTCTAGTACTGCTTCATTGAATGAAAGCATAGGAGTACCAGGATGGCAGATCGTCCATCACGGTGATTTACCTGTTGTGACACTCAGTAACGGTGGTCAAAGTCTAATAGGCTACAATGCAGGAATCCAAACCGTAAGGTGAGTAGCAACATTCATTGATTTTTAGATGATCAAGAAGTAAAACTAAAACGAATGGTTATTCACATAGTGCTACACCCACATCATCAACCAGCACAAGTCTAACCTCAACCTCACCCAAACCTCTAAACCATCAAATAACCATCATCATCATAATCGTTTCAATCACTTTCTTGATCTTTTCAATCACTACAACCACTTTTTTGTTCATTAAAAGGAACAGAAAAAGACGTGAAAAAGACTTCGAATTGAATACTTTGGAACTTAAACGCAAAAGTGATCTTTGGAATTTACAAACTAATTTACCTCTTAGGAAAACTACTACTACTACTAAATAATAATCATCTTGGTGTGTTTACTTAATTTTTTTTTTGTGGGTTTTGTCGGGGGGGTTTCTTGAAGGAGTGGTTGGAGGTGTTGGTTGAATGGCACGTATGGGTACAGGATTTGAAATGGGTTGATTTATTAAACTGTGCTTGGGTTTCTATTTAGGGTTTTATTTTTACAACATCCAATTTAAGTCATTCATCATGAATCAACACTTTCGATGACATTTTTTATGAATCTCAATTCCATTATATATTTTCCTCATCTTATAAATTTTCATCATCTTATAAATTTTCATCATCTTTTATTTTTTTTTATTTTGGGTTTTTCGTTCTTCATCTCTGATTTTCAAAATTGTAATTAAGCAAAGCTTTAATTTCTTTTCGTTTCTTTCCGTTTTTTTTTCGTTGTTTGGTATTTAGATGAACGATTTGTATATATGTATTTAAATGTAAATGAATTTTTTTGGGGGGATCGTAAAAAAGACTGAAGTTTGAATGACGAGTTTTGTACATAGTATAATCAAGTGTGATGAAATTGAGCAAATAAATACGAATAAAGGGGTTGCAAGTCTTGCAGAAGGATTTGAGTCTTGTTTGAGTCTGGTTGGAAGAGTTATAGAATGGGTTCCAAGAGTTCCTTTTAGCAAATTGCTTTCTTTTAGTCTTTGTAGCTAAAACTTACAACTTAAGTCAAGAACAACACGATCGATGGATAAACACCATATTAGAGATTCTATGAAACCTGGTAAGAGTTTAAATAGAAAAGAAGAATCTGAGGTAAGAAACAACATGGATGGATCAAGTTGGAGTGATTTGAACTAGATGAGTGTAAGTTTGATTTAAGACTTATGGTAGTCGGTTCATCTGTTACTTTTGATGGTTTACACAGAATGTGATTTCAAGTTCTAAATGATCATCATGTTTTAGGACCGGTTTATGTTTGCTTGGATATCAGATATTTCAGGATGACCATGCTATTTGGACTAGAATGTGTCCAGAAAGCATGGCATTGAATTCTAAAGGCACTGGTGGTTCAAAATGATAGGGAGCCAGCTCATCAAGTATACCAAAAGTGAACAAAATTCAAAATTGTTTGGTAATCAAATGTGCTTGATGTATGCTACAAGAGAAGTGATGGGAAGCTGAGCAATTTCCAAGTTGGGTAAAGAGGATGTCTGTACTCGATAGTAGCATGATGTCAGATATGATGTTTCTAGAAAGAATCAGTTCGATCTCTATAGCATCTGATTGGTGGTGAAGGCCCAAGGGTGATGATGATCTTCGATTTGTAAAGTGGAATTGTTACATGTTGTACTTTACATATAACATTCCTGACCAGATTAGGACAATCGAACGGAACAGTCCGTCTTTACCCTTTTGGCACTTTGAAGAAACCGATTCCTACTCAGCATTTCATTCCAATCCCAATTCACTTCATTATCAATAACTCATATCACTCATCCACTTATACATCAAAAACAATGTCATCAATTAAAACTATCACGAGTCTTTCATTCAGAGGAAAACCTACTCAAATCACTTCTTCTCTGGTAAGATCCAACATTATCTCATCCTTTCACCAAGCCACCAGTTGATGATCTCTCATTCACCTTGCTTTTACACAGATCCCTCGCCAAAGATTCATTTCTTCAACTTCAGTCAAACCTTTTGCAACACCTGCTCAAGAACACGCAACACCCGAAGCTTCTAATACCAGCACCGATACGAAGACCAAACAGTTTTCAATCTACAGATGGAATCCAGATGAACCCAGTCAAAAACCAAGTCTTCAAACTTATTCTATCGATATGAAAAAATGTGGTCCGATGGTCTTAGATGCATTAATCAAAATCAAAAACGAAATCGATCCGACTCTTACGTTTCGAAGAAGTTGTCGTGAAGGTATCTGTGGTAGTTGTGCTATGAATATCGATGGGGTTAATACTTTGGCTTGTTTGAAGAGAATTCCTAAAGAAAGTTCATCGGATGTTAAGGTTTATCCTTTACCTCATAGTCAGTTTTAGCCTTTGATGATCTTCTGTTTTGTTGCGGTTTTTTTCAGGATTGCTAACGTTTTTTTTTTTGATTTGTTTCATAAGTGTATATCATTAAGGATTTAGTGCCTGATATGACCCAGTTTTACAAACAATACAAGTCTATCGAACCGTTTTTGAAAAACGATAACCCACCTGCTCAAGGCGAATTCTTACAATCACCTGAAGATCGAAAGAAGTTGGATGGAATGTATGAATGTATCCTTTGTGCTTGTTGTTGTAAGTCTTTCAGTCCTTCTTTTTTGTCCAGTTTACTATTTCTCATGTTTTTCCATGTTCATTTGAACTTTTAGCCACAAGTTGTCCAAGTTACTGGTGGAATCAGGATGAGTATCTCGGACCGGCCGTGTTGATGCAAGCTTACAGGTTAGTTGCAGGTCTTGCTTCTTTAGCTCTTGTACATAGATTGATTCCACTTGGATTGTCATTGTCTACAGATGGATCGCCGATTCTCGAGATGGTTACAGTGAAGATCGAAAGGAAAAGTTGCAAAACACCTTTTCCTTATACCGATGTCACACCATCTTCAACTGCACCAAGACTTGTCCCAAGGGCCTCAACGTAAGCCGAATTGGATTTAGAATATCATCACCTATCCCGAATGCGAATGCTGATCCTGTTCCATATTCTTGAACATGGGAAATCCTCACAGCCCGCCAAGGCTATTGCCCACATCAAGCGAGAGATGGCAATGGCATAAGTTTTAAATCTTTTGTTCTTACACATCATTTTCATTTTCTCCAGTTGTCAAATTGAACTTTTTCAAGTTCATTATGCTTGTCATTTGTATCCCAACTCATCTGAATCAGAGAGGTACAATTAACTTTTTTTTTTAGCAAAACTTTATTTTTTCATTTTGATTCATGTGCTTTTTCGTTTGAAAACCATCCTGATTGTAAAACCCAAGATAGTGACAAAAACCAATGACTTTTTCTTTCCTTTTTGCGTTTTGATTTATGTGAGTTTTTTTAGAGATGTATATCTCTTTGGATGTGAATTTGTGTTTCGATTCGTGAAAGGTTCTCGTTTGTGTTGAAAGCTGTAAGATTTTGTTGTTTTCAACTTGGTTCATACCATGGGCATGATAGTGTTGAGAACTGAGTTGGGTAGTACATACGATAACCCGAGATAAGTTGACATTCGCGTGGTCTGCTGTCACTGTCGACCTCACGGGGTTGGGTAGATTCAAACTTTTGGTGGTGTTGAAGGCAGAGTCGAACATGATGGAGGCCATCATTCTCAGATCATGTGATGCAAAAGCCAAATCATAAGAGCTTCAACACAGCCTCAGGTCGGTCATCAGGACATAGGTTTTAGGTAACTATTTAGACCAACCACATGGTGTGTTTTCCACTCTTTAAATCGTGATTCAAAAAAAATCGACTTGACTCTTGACTCTTTACCCGTCAAGAAATCAATATCTACAAATCAAAGCCACCAAGTATTTGGAAAGTTTTTTTTGTTTTGAAAGAAAGAGAGAAAAGTTGTGTGGCTTGAAAGTTTCTTGACTATTTACAATCCAATTCAAACAAATTTGACTACACTACGGTCCAAACTTTAAGGGCAAATATGTCTTCAAAACACCCTCAGTATTGACATTCGAGAAACATGGAACTTTACCTACCAGTGACAAATGCGTTATATGATTGTGATGTAGATTTTGTGTTTTTGTAGAAAAAATGTAAATTCAATGTATTTCTTATTGTGATTTGAAAACATATACGCTTGAGGTATCTCGATACCTCATCAGAACATAAATTAACCACAACATAAACTAAACGTGCCCATTACAAACTCAACAGGTACTTCCTATATAGCTTCCATGTTCAAAGTAGACTAGAGTAGACTGCTGTAGATTGTTCAGCTTCTGATACCAAGTCCCCAAGCGAGGTTTGACTTTTGGAAAACCAAGTCATATGAAGTCGAGTCATTTCCCTTTTGGCAACAAGTCACAGATCTCTTTGCACATCATTCCGCTCTTCCACTCGTTTTTATATGGTTTCTTCTTTGTTTTTCTTTCTTTTCGCCATCCTGCTAACATATCCATTCTCTCCCATTTTCCTTCTGACTCAGGTTCTCCAAGTCCGCAAAGGTCCTCAATCCGATAAGGTTAAAAAACATAAGCATCCAATCTGTGATACACCAAGATACGCCAGTCTGCCTTCGTCTGCTTCGTTTTGAATCCTATGTTGACCAAGTTTTCTTTTTTCTAAATCGTTCCATTCTTTCCACTCAATTCCTTCTTCACAATCTGTACCATTCACACATCTCTCCCACGCAGCTCTCAAACCCTTCTCCAGATTAGTGATCCGGCGTATTGAATACTACTGAATAACACCGATCGATCTCGCGTCTCGAATGATCAACGTCGCAATAGAGCCAACTCGCTCATTCCCGCAGTCAGATAAGCAAGCACCTTCTGTGGTTCTTGCTCGGGAGTGACCATTAGCGACACCTGATAATTGAGACTCTTTGCTAGCTGAATGGCTTAATCTTCATACTCATCGAGGTATAAAGCCAAGACGGTTACTGCAAATGAATTCGAAGATGCTGATTTAATTTGGGATCAATTTAAACATGATATCATCCAAAGGGTTTTAAGGTATGGTGATGTACTTGTTAAGTAAGTGTTTTATGAAAATGATCCTTTTTGTGGGATGGGTTTGGGCAAGGGATCGGTGATTGATTTTCTTTGGTTTTTTAGTTTGGTTCGATGATTATGTTGAGGATGGAACATCAAGATTACTAAAATTGAAAAATTTGTTTCATAAGTGAGTAAATTGATTCTATTATCCCTTTTTTGAAAAGTTGCTACCCTTTCATCAATACAAACTGATGATTTTGGGGTTTCTCTTCCCTACCAAAATCGATGTGGACGTGGGTCGATGGTCGCTTACGTTGGATCAAAAAGCTACCACCGCCATCACAAGCCAGGTATGTGGTTAGCAAGTTGACCTACCCATCCGCTGAGCTCTTGCTGATGGAATTTGTGTTTAGATTCAAAAATCTGGTGATGGAGACCGATCGCAAGGTTTTTGATGGTACTTGCACGTTTGCAGCCATCATGACAACACACAAGGATGATATAATTCTTCCTGGCAAAAACAAGGGGGAGCAAACATGAACTGAATATTGACTGATTGTGAACCAACTTGTTATCTTATTTTTCTTTTCTTTTACTTTCCTTTATTTTAGTTTATTTTCTTTCACTTTCTCTTCTTTTATGGGTTCCTCCAACTACTTCTTTACATTAAAGAACTTTTTGTCGATCAAAGATTGTCGTTCCTCTTATTTCTGTTGCGCATCTGGAATGTATACAGCCTCTGATGTTACTACATTTGCTGCGTATCAACCCAGTTTGCATGGTATCGTGACCCAAGCGAAACGAAATGCAAGCTCCAGTATGGAGCGCGCTCACTGGATTAAAAAACACGGAATCAAAAATATATATACAAAAATAGCGGCTATACAATAAAATCACAATTTGAATCGAATCAAACTGAGACCCGATTAAAATCTGGGGTGGATCCATGTTCCAGAAACATACGACTTATGTAAATGAGATGTGCAGAATACATTTCACAGATGTAGCTAAAAAGATTTTGTCAGCAATATGTTGCAAGTATGTCTGACTTTCATACTTGATACGTTCAGCATTCATGCTGATTACATAACAATTATGTACGACAAGTGTTGAGCAGAGATAAACAAAACATGTTCGCAACGTAACCACATATGTTTACGTCACGTTTTTACTGGGGGTGTTTTCAAATCATCAGGAAAACATTGTTGAAACAGATGGTGAAAACATGTAAAAATTACGAATATTTTGATCCGTAGTGTACCTACATAGGAACAAGCAGTAGCTTCTAGCTTGATTTGTAAGCGGTCAAGTGGAATATCTAGAGGATTCAGAGTTGGGTTTTCGTTTTATAAGGTCTTCCTATTCACGCTTACAGACCAACTCCCTTGAACGGTGAACCATGCGAACGATATACCATGCGAGTCCTTGGCGGAGCTTGGCTCTTTGAAAACCCACAAAAGCACAAACTTAACGAAAGCCTGCCAATTCATCAGACCCTGAATCATCTTGAATCACCAATCAAGGCTAACTTTTGAGTCAAATCAGGATTCCAAATTCTATCAACTTCTAAAACTGCTTCTCTTGTTGATCAATTGTAGCATGGATAGACACGCTGTGAAAGTGGCGTCGTTACGGTCAAATTGGCTGAGCTTGGCGTTTGGTATTCTTTGAAAGAGCCAAAGGTTTTTCCGAAATCGATTGCAAGGTGTAATAACACAGATCACTAGGTATATGAAGTCGTAAACCAGGTCCTCGTGAAGAACCTACCTGTTCGTTAATCGTCTGGCCCTTCTCATAATCGTGATCTAGCTATAATTTCCAAGATGTCATTGAAAAACTCTCTCATCATCGTTCTAATGTGTTTCATAATGTCTGTGTTTATGAACATGAACTTAGTGGATGCTGAGATGATCGATTGTACGGGTGGATTCTCTACTGATTCAGTTCTTCTTTCAGCAAGTAAGTGTCAATCTTTTCTTTTCCTTTTTATCACTTTCTTGTATGTTTAGTCTTAGATAGGTTCCCTTGACGTTCTGAAAACTTGGTTTTTTTATTTTTGTAGAATGTGTTTTAGATTCTGAGCAAAAAAATCCTCGGTATTGTGATTTCGATAAATGTGGTCATAATAGTAAGTTAAAATAAGACTTTTGATTCGATTTTTTATAGAATTCAAAAATCTGATTGATATTCAATTTTTTGTCAATTGATTTTTTTCATTAGATGCTCATTTTGTTCCAATGAAAAATTGTGAACCTTATAACCCACCAGGTAAAAAGAAATCTACACAAAATTGTTTAAATTATCAATATAATGATGGATCACATTATTGTTAGTCAAACAGTTTCTTCTCTTCAGTTTCCAAGAATTTGGTTTTTGTTGATAAAGTTTTGATACTGACTTTTTTTGGGTAACACTTTTTTTTTAGCTTGTTGGAATGCTGCGAATCATTTGTTCATTTGTGAACATCAGTTTGGTGATAAACCAGTGATTTGTATGTTTGAATTATTCCTTACAAGTATATATTTGATAAAGTCGAGAAATCTGATGAGAATCCCATCTATTTTATTTTGACTTGATAGCTTGCGATTGTTAAGGTGTGCGGTATCATTTCATTCGAGCAATACCAAATGTGAAAAATTGCGAACTATCAACTTATATCGGCTTACTTCTAATGTATATACAAGAAGGTTAACCAAGGATTCTACTGTAATCATTTCACTTCTGAAGCACTAGTATTTACATGCATATTTTACTTTCTTGATGTTTATCATTCGAATCAAGCTTGTCTCCAGAAATTGTGAGATCTTCAAATCATGAAGGAAAAGATCTTTGAGGAAAAATTCAACTTGATTTGCCAAAAATTTAATAAAAATCTGAAGATTTCTTGTTGATAGTGAGACTTGTCATGTTATCCATCACGTAGATTTTGTGGAAAGTAGCTGAAGTAGAGCTGAGCATAGGATTCAGAGATGTTTTACTCGTACCACAGTCTTCCATCAGTTCCGAGCTCTATTAAACATCAGATCAAACCAATGATGATGTTCATGGTCACCAAAAGGGGAGGGAAGCATCCTTAAGATCACAGCCTACTTCCGCCCCCCTGGTAGTCCCTCAGGTGTTCGTAAGGGATCAACCAAATTGACGGTTCAATTTGAGTGCAATTGACAGGAAGAATGGTGACTAGAGAAATATTCCGACCCTTTTACGTCACCTACATTTTGTTGCCAAAATCACGATTCGAATTTTTGGTCACTATAGGCCAAGATTTTGGTCAAAACACAACATTTTGCGTCATTAACCGCCACAGGCGTGGGTCCTCGTTGAGGACATTCGATACGCATCGGGTGAAAGGTCGAATTACGAAGCATGATGAACATCATAAGTGGCTTTTTGAAACTGGCTGAGCTTGGCGTTCAGCTTGCATCAAAGAGCCGTACACGGTACATGAGGTCTTCCAGGGCCGTAACACAGATGGAATGCACTGAAGCATAAAATGGTGATGACGATGAGTAGACCTCAACGATCAGTTTTTCGAACAGTCTTCCCAATCGTCTACCATTCCCTCACTTGACAGCTACATCAAGATGTCCTTCAGAGCTTATCTCACTATCGTGGTGCTGTGTATTACGATGTGTTTCCTTACTAGTATGAAGTCAGTCAATGCTGTCGATTGTCAAGGTGGATACGATACGGATGACACCACAGCTTGTAAATAGTTTTCCTTCGTTTCAAGAACTTTATCTTATAAATAACTTCTGATGATTTTGATTCTTTCATTCTGTAGTTTGTACTGTGGATGAACAGCAGATTAACCTTCACCATTGTGATCCTGCTAGGTGTGGTCATGATAGTAAGTTATAGAAAACCTTCTCTATGGAAACCTTATAAACCGTATCAGAACTTGATTCGAATCTGATATATTTTAATGAATTTTATGATATTCTAGACGCTCGATTTGTTTCATGGAAAAAATGTGTACCTTTTTATAAACAAGATGGTACTGCCGAAAGCACACAAAATTGTGTGAGCTACGGTCATTACGGCCCAAACCATTACAGTCAGTCAAGGTTTTGCTCTTCGATTGATCATAACAATTGTTTTGGTTCATTAACTTTGTTAACTTATTTGTCCTCTTTTTTTGCCATCAAATATCTTCAGCTTGTACAAATGCTAATAATGAATATTTCCTTTGCCCTCATAAGTTGAAGGATGCACCATTCATTTGTAAGTCTGAGTTATTCTTAATTATGATCAAGTTTAGAAATCTGACAAAAATCTCATCTGTCTTTGTCTTGCTTCAATTCAATAGCATGTAGCCGTTGCTAAGCTAGAATTCCATTGATGTTGCATCAATCAAAGATCTGATTGTTCTAGAAATTACTTAGAGAACCCAGTCATAGAGATCAGAATCAATCCTCAGCTGATGGTATATTTGCGAAATCTGAACAATTGGGAATCAACTTACTTGATCTGGATATCAAGTCTTTCACAGCTAGTTAAGGCAATTGCCCATATCAAATGGCTATGGCATGAATCTCCAGTTTTGTTTTCTTACATCTTCATCTTCATCTTCAGTTGTCAGATTGGACTTCTTGATACGATGTTCATGATACACGTTGTTTGTATCCCAAGAGGTGCATATAACTTTCAGTAAACCTACATCTTTCATTTGATCCGTGTGCTTTTTGCAAGTCATCCTTGAACTTGAAGGGATAAGAAGCTCAATGCCCCAAGAATATCCTTCTGCTTCCCTTCGATCCAGTTAATCACTTCCTTCGTTCTTTATAGATTGATATGCATCTTTTTATGTGAATGGTTTTTGTCTTGATTCGTGAAAGGTTCATGTTAGTGTTAAAAGCTGTAAATTTTGCTGTCTTCAACTTGATTTATGGTACATACATATCTGCCAGAGGTCTTTAACAGAAAACACATAAACATCCAAAAGCGGCCTGACGTGGACGTCTAGGACATGTTGATACATACTCTACCAACGGACACCTTGCGGCGCCTGCTTTGAGAAGCATTCGAAGATTTTTGAAGTCTCAATGGAGGTCGGATAGGGTCGGATGCTGTCGGATGCTCTAACAGGCTCCAACTTACCGAATGTGTGGACCATAATGAACTGAGACGTTGGATTCTAAGTGGCGTCATGAAATTGGCTGAAGTTGGCGTTTGCCTCTCTTCACGGTTCACAAAGCCATATGGTTTTCCCGGTTTTCCAGCATCGCAACACAGATATGTAAAATGAATTTAAGGAGACCTCGAGTCGATGGAGTACTCTCCCCAAGAACCTACCCATTTTTCACTTACAATATCAACATGTCCTTAATGAATTATCTCACCATCGGTGTGATGTGTATCACACTGATTTTATTTATTGACTTAAACTCAGTCAATGCGATTAGAAATATACCGTGTACTGGTGGATTCAAGACGGAACCCCACGTAGCAAGTAAATCTATGTTTCCTTTTTACAAGTTTCTCTTATACATAAATATGTTCTGATAATCTTTTTCTTTTTGTCTGTAGACTGTATTGTTGATCCTTTGGGAAAGGAAAAATACCAGTGTCCCCTTGACCAATGTGGTCAAGATAGTAAGTTAGACAAAAAAATTCTCTATCAAATTTGTATATTGTATACACATTGGAATCTGATTGGAATCGGAACCATTTAATGAATTTTGATGAATTTCCAGATACCCACTTTGTGTCATGGGGTGGCTGCGTGCCTATAACTTACTATCCAGGTGAACCCAGTGGCGAAACCACACAAAATTGTGTCACCTACGGATACTACGACCAAACACATTACAGTCAGTCAAACTTTTCTTCTCTCATCAATCCATGACATCACACAAGTTAATTTGATTCATCCCATTTTTTTTTGGTCATCGAACATCTTCAGCCTGTAAGAATGCCAATGGTCACACGTATATTTGCAACCATAAGATTGAGGACAGACCAGTTATTTGTACGTCTGACCTTTCTACTAAATATAGTGAAGTTAAGAAATCTGACGAAAATCTTATCTATGTATTTTTCTTAAATTCAATCTGATAGCCTGCAATTGCTAGGATTGCGAACTCTTCCTCTAAAAGGATGACGAATAATTACGAACAAGATGTCTAACGTATTTCTGGAAATCGTATAAAAATTCTCCCATGCTACCTGCTTCAATCAAAGCTTTCATTCTTTGAGCATTCGATTAGAAATTCCGGTTCATAAAGCTCAGAATCAGTCAGTAGCTGAGGGTTTACCAAATGCGAAAAGTTAGGAACCGAGATCTCGGTCTTGGTACAGATGTGACTAAAAATTGACAGCACAATTTCATCTAGCACATTTGACCTTCTTGAAGTTGGGATGTGTGGTATTCAAGTCGAAGGAAAGGATGTTTACTAAGAAAGCGAACTTGACCAAAACGCATAGCTAATCCATTGAACCTAAAAAGATCCCCTCAGCCTCTCGGCATAAATCGAGCGAGTCTCCACTTGAGAAGTTTTTATATATGAACAACAATTTTTCAAGATAAACTATGTTCTATGTGTGCACATATAAGGACTCGGAGACTGAGTTGACAATCTATGTAGTTCAACTTCCTAAACAAAATCCAATGTTCCATTTGCAACATGGGTTTGCATCATCAACACAAATTCACCTGGTCATTCTTCAATTTGATTCCACTTCTTCATCAGTTTTGAGTCGCGTCTTGGTCGTTCAGTCAAGTTGAGGTGATTTCACTTCGTCTGTCACATTGTTTTTGAGCAGTTCGAAGTTAAGCTAAAGTGTTTTGGACTATGTAGCAAGGTGTGCTTCTATACCGACCTCAAGAAGAAAGCTCTAAAAGATCATCTGATTCTATTTTGAAAATCAAGTATGGAAGCTGACTAGGATGAAAGGCATTAACAAAAGCTGAACTGGAATCTTCAACGCGACAAACTTGACGCGCCATATGTAGAAAGGATTGACTTGATATTCGCCCTGGTCGGTCTGAGCTTTCGCGGATCCATCGTGTGGTGCTGAGAGATCCGCATACTGGCCCGAGTCATCGGGGAGAAACCGTTTGCCTGCAAGGGGTCTTCATGAAATTGTATGTGGCTTTGCCATCACTGAACTTCTTTTGACATACTCACCAATTTAAAAAAATCAACTCAGAATGCCTACCTTGAAACCCACCAAATACGCCGAAGAACATGTTCGACCTGCAGTACAAGGTCAATCTGGTGAAGGATTAGCTTCTTGTCTATCAATCGAAGATGATCATTGCAAACATCTTTACCAAAGTGCAATCGTACCTGTGGCAAGTCTTTCTTACTATCAACGAGGAAAACCTTTTGAAGGAGCTTTGATTAATGTTGACTGTAATTTGATTCGTGTGGGTTTAATGGTTTTTAATCCTAGCTTACAACTGAAAATCAAATCAAAAGAAAACTTTATCACGAGGAACCTTGGGGTGGTATTGCAGCTATACATTTTCGCGTGTTAGCTGCAAAGTTCAGTCAGTTTGAAATCTCGACTTTGGATCTGTCCTTTACCATTGATAGCTGATGAATCAAGTTCTGATCATAACAATTCGGATCTCAAATCTTCAGGTGGATCTAAACCCGATTACTTTGCTATGTTTGATGCACAGAGGACTTTAGTCAGGTGAATCTAGACTTTACCATGCTATAAGAAATCGCCCTGGAATCAAACTTCTTGCTGATCGAATCTCACATTGGGAATCCTAGTTCTTATAATCAATGGTTTAGGGATGATAATACTGCATGGAGTCTGCCCGTCTTGTACGTGATCAGTCGTGATCTTCGTCATTTTGCTATCGAAGTGCGTGTAGGATATGAAAGATAGTCAAATGAAGAGATCAAAAGCCCATTATCTGTAGACATTCATCTCGAACGTTTTCTATTTTGATTTATATAGGCAGATCGAGAATTAGTTGCACGAGGGGAAAAGCCAATCAAACAGGAAGAGGCTGCGAGAATGATTCAAACGAGCTTTGGGATTTGTTGTAGTGATGTAAGAAGAAGGAGTTTATTGATCACTCAACCTATTACTCTAGATCTGTTTCATGCTCACTAACCTATCCACCTATCAATATTTTTAATCATTCAAGAGAAGCGCATCAAAAGAAACCAAAAAGGGTGGAGTAGTATACATGGCAAGTCTGTTATTCAAGTTGTACTTTAAGGTTTGTTATCATTTCACGTTTCTCTAGTACGACGAGCAGGAGACTGATACAATCTGTTGACAACCAATTAACTAATCAACTGGTTGAATTCTCATCCTTAGCTGAACTCCACTGCCCTGTGTAAGAATGTCATCAGGGGTGTAGAGAATGCAGATCTCTCAGCGGGTCTTTATATACCCATGGCGCATCAGGTCACGTATAGGTATTATATGGGTAAGTTTTGTCTTCAGAACGCCCCTATATTCTCCTCGCCTTCATATCCATAAGTATCACTACACTGATACTCAGAACCCATCACTTCAAATTTTGCTTTCAACAGGTGTCTGGAGCTTCTTGCAAGAAGATTACCAAAAGGTATATTGCAAAAGCTGAGGATCTTCTACCAAAGAAACACTTGAATTTATGTTTACAATCCTTTATAACAGGCTGAAGAACATTTGACATTTGCTTTCAAGCATTGTCATCGAGATCAATTACGAAATCGTGATTTAGTCTTGAATTACCTCATTCCAATAAGATTATTGAAAGGTAAACGACCTGTTAATGCTTTATTGGAACGATCTTCTCGTCTTCATTTGTTATATTCGACATTCATTACTGGTAAGTCTTGACTGTCAACTTGTGAAAGGTAATGGTTATCACTTAAATTCCTATCTGATGTGCTATATATATAGCGGTGAAGACTGGAAATATTGAGTTATTTGATCAGCATATGTCAAGCGTCGAGAAACAACTACTGGCGAGAGGTACTTACCTTGTGGTTGAACGTATGTATCATTGCTTGAATTTCAGTCCAGTCGCGCCTGTACGCTATCACATTGCTCATCGAATCTCCTTATGGGTGCCGCGGTTCTATCTTTTGTGTTTAAAGGCTGTCGGGACATATGTCTATGTAATCTGGTGAAACTGATGTGAGTGAATCGTGCTTTTCTCACAACGCTATGAAGGCTTGTTGATGTTGTTTTGTAATGATCTTACAATGTGGATACAACCAGATACCGCCTAAAGTCTGAAAATCATCAAATTCATTTACAATCATTTGAGAAGTTGGCTTATAATGACGATCTAGAAGAACAACCTATGGATTCTGGAGATGATATCAATTCCAACAAGATTGAGGAAGTAGAATGTATACTAGCAAATCTGATTGCACAGGTCAGTACTTTGATCGATATTGTAAAAAAAATTGTGTCAACTGAGATTGATTGATTTGATATTGAAAACTTTAGGATCGTGTAAGAGGTTATATACATCATCAATCTAAAATGTTGGTCTTATCAAAAAAAGATCCATTTCCAGTAAAGGTTCAGTAAGGAAATATATATCAAGATTATCAAATCAATCTTTTTTTTCTCTTCTTTGGATTCTTGTTGTATGATTTGAATGATTCTTGAGCATTTCATCTTTTCAATGTGACTTATCTATATTACATTACAGATATATTATTCAAACTTTTTTTGTGTTTGAACTTTATCTTTCTTATTATAAAGGGATTACTTTAAAGACTGGGAAATATTGGTTGATGGTATTGGTTTATAAGTTTCTGGGTTTGAAATTCTTGTTTATGCTGTTATAAAATTAATGCGTACTTGCTTTGAGCTTCTACCACGCTCATTACATATATGGAATGCTTGAAGCTGTGGGATTACCTCATTGGACAATGGACATCGTACCTTCCGAATTCAAAATATCTCAATCTTGATACATTCTTCAATCTCTAAAGCACAGACTCGACAATGTTTGTTGTGTATGATTCCTCAGAATGTGACAGTGAATAATTTCCAAGTTGCTCAACTTGGACTCATTCGTAGTACAGAATCATTTAACGTAGCAGTGCTATAAGAACAGCTCGGGTTATCAATTATGCCTTCGGTGGTGACGTTTGCCCGGTTTCGGTTGATACCACGGTCCTGGTATACTTCACGCATCGCACAGCTTTTGGTGAAGGTTCGGTTTGAATGATTTGAGTAACCAAGGTCTCATAAAGCAATGAACATCAACTTATCGATGTGCTTCGTATAGAGCAACGGAGGAGCTCGTTTGACCGGAAGACTAGCTAGTTGATCCTATGCCCTGCTCTAAGAGATGGACTTCAATGAGACACACCTTGCTCGAACTTCCACAAAGTGACGCATTTCCAGAGTACCCCCTATCAGAGTTTGACATCACAAGCAGATGGAGCGGAGAGAAATCGTCAAGAAGCTTTATAGCCCTGCTATCTCTTCTCAATTCGATCCTGTTTTCAAAATCTTACAATTTCAAAGTTCATACGATTTCAATTTCTTTCATAGCTACTACCGCGTGATCACTTTTTGTTTCAAATATCATTAAATCCAACCGAGCTCTGAATTCGCATACTACAGACTGCAGCCTTTCAATCATTCAACTATTCAACAATCTTCTTGGAAAGCCGTACAAAATACTTACTAAAGTCTTCTAGAATCATGAAGTTTCTCCCAGTGCCGGTTCAGCAAAGTCAATGGACAATGCGAAGGCGTCCAGTAAGTTTTCTGTTACTTTTTCTGAAAACTTTGGTCTCACCCGAAGACTAATTGATCTTTCTTTAAAGGGTCAAGCTTATCTCGTTTCATTCTGCTGTGTCTCATTGGGATTAGTCTTAGGTAAGATTTTTTTCTATTTCTGATACGACCAGCGGAACATTGTATATCAAGAAAAGTTAACTGACACTAAAATCATATATGAACTTGCTATGTGCTTTATAAACATGAGTAGTCTGCAAATATCTTTTGATACCGCGGTAAGTAACTCTTTCATGAAATTGATCACCAGGTAAATTTACTCTCTGAAAATCTATACCCAACGTACTAGTAGTAGTAGGCCATCTTATCTGTTCAGTCAATCCAAAATCAATTCCTCAAACCCTACAAAAGTATGTCAAAAGACATTTGTATACAAGTTTGACAATTCTTGTAGTTTTGCTTCTGAATTGGCTTTATATGTGAGTGAAGTAGGAGTGGATTCGTAACCTTTTGAGAAATCAAGCATTTACCTTTGTTGATCAAAACAGGCTCGTACTGCTATGACTGCCACACATTTGAATTATGAGATGTTTTATGATGATTCAGAATGGCAATATGGACCAATAAGTGTGAGTGGTAAGATTTCCCGACTTTTTATACATTTTTTAGGATAGGAATACTTACAATCTCAAGTTCTCATATAGAAATACTTTCAAATACCGCCCAATCGGTGTGTCTTACCAGAACGTTGGGTTAAGAACCCAAGAATAAAGTTTGGGGAACAGGGATGGATGAATGGGAGTCATCTAACAAATGACAGACGTGACCTTCAGTATGTAGCAAGACTTTCCCGCTCAATTCTCATAGAACCTGTTTCTGATTATCCTCGACTGGTGAGGTTTGTTCATATAGTGTGAGGCACATTGATGAATACATCATCAGAAACTTGGTTAAAAAGGAGTCTATTGATTTGATCGCTTCCTGGAATTTCATCAAGGCTCGAGATCAACAGACGAGTGTTCCAACCGAGCAAGTCTTACATCAATCAATGAAGGATGTCTTCGAAAGGCAATCCATGGAACTGAAGAAATTATGGAAACCTACTGAGTCACTCTTAAGAGAAGTAGAAACAATGGAGGCCTCTGTCGAAGAATCGATTCATCAACATTTATTAGAAGGACCACTTTCAATTTGGAGACGTATAGGAATTCAATGGGGAACAAAAAAGATTGGACTTTACTATAATACTAAGAGCGATACTCAGACTGCAACAAACAAGACACAAAGGTCAGATCCAGAGATCGAAAGTTGGTACCACTATACCACACATCAATATTATCGAGTCATTAAATCAATTCAAGAGAAACTAAAGTTCAAACCAGTAATATTCTTGCTATCTGATAATCTTGAATCAGCATTCACTTCAATTGCAACTTATATGCTACAATATCCTATCGAGAAACAATACAACTTGATCGTGGCTCCTGATTCACATTCAGTCGACCCATCATCTGAGTCACATCCAGAGAAAAAGAGGAAAGAAGATCGGATAGATGATGTGGCAGATTATGTGAGGGACTTAACATTTGCTATTGAACATCTAGATGTGATTACATGCAGCCTTGAACAAAGCGAGACATGTAATCTTATTTTCCTGTTGGGTGGTTCAGCACGGGCGATGGATAAGGATCCTACGATCAGGAGTATTGATGAAAGGTGGTATCCTACCTCATCAAGAGCCAGTATTGATGAGCTCGCACTTGGACTAAGTAATTCTCATGAGAAGCTGGTGGAGCTTGCCCGCAAGCTAGCTAAAGACTCAAAGAATTATGTTTATCTTTGACGATTAGGAAGCTCAACTCAACTCAGTCATTCAGATTTTTGGAAACAGACTAAGCGTAATTGCTGAGTTATTGATGATTTGTTCAAAATATTTAGGGTCTGACTGAGACTCTGAGGTAAATGATGAGTTGCTCATGACTTGTTTTTCTATATAGGTCTCCCTTCACCATTCTTTCTGCTTTTTCATCACCTACCTCTGTACATTCTCTTCCAAAATCATAACACGAACCATAGCAAGCCCACTCCCAGCGAAGTTAGCGATCCTTAAACTATAGCAAATCAAATCTTGTATAATGCCATCGACTAAAATGACTCAAGACTATCCATCTAAATCTCGACCGCGCATTCAAACCCGATTTCATTGCGGAATAAAACCTCATCTACTTGATCCATCTCGTTGGATCGCTCCACCTCGAGCCGGTCTTCGCGGCTATTGTGTTGATCGAGTAGGCTCCATACCTGGATACGATCTGTCTCCGCGTGTACAAGATCTCGATGGTTCTCCCTTCAGCTTAAGACAATGGAAACCACGCGCACGTGAAGGACCACAACATCCACTTAGACCGTTGAAATCAGCAAAACCGATGAATGAGAGCGATGTAGGAGAAACCTCACTGATCACCTGGGAAACTATCTCAAGACCTACTTTGGTAATTGGAAAACGAAGTCGAGGCAACGAAGATGATGAAGAATATTGTCCTCACCAGATTCATTACTCTTTTACGGTCGGACCAAGACCAACTACTTCTCGAAAGAAATTAAGAAGAACCAAGAGCTGTTCGACAGGATCTTTACTATCAGAGCGTGATATCACTGATTTTAGCAAACATGAAGTCAAACCAACGTCCGTTCAAGATCAAGATAATCAGATTTCGATTTCTCAAAGATCTCGTAGTTTTGAAATCAGTTTACAAAATCGAAAAAAGTTTACCAAGAGACCACCTGATGTTTGTATTCAACATCCTAATACATACCATCTAGACTGATTAGAATCTGCTTGGTGTTTGAATTATGTGTGTAGTCTGAATATCTTTGTTTTTAGAGTCAATAAATGACTTGTATCTTTGATTATCTGTTGATGTTGATACACATATAAATAGTCGAGTGTGGTTTTGAATCTTGATCACTAGATTTTTGATGCCCGTTGACCACATATCATCGGCGTCTAAACTCACGCGCCCAAATTACACAAGTCTTAGATGTTTCTTTAGTCATGTTTCTTTAGTCATGTTTCTTTAGTCATGTTTCTTTAGTCTACCCATTTAACGGTAAACCAGAGGATCCGGGGGTAGCCTGGGACTCTCTGGGACTCTGAGAATCTGGGACAAACCTCCTATAAACCATGAGTGTATGGGTCAGTCCGCACTGTAAATACCAACCACATACCAGAAACATTACTGATACTTAAATAGTTTTGGACATACGGTATCCATGCGTGAAATCGCAATCTAACATGAGTGTCAAAGGAATTCACCCTCATCCCTTCACATGCGTCAAGAATGCTCAGTCATTCGATCATTCACTCGTCACATCCCATTCAACCATGCTACTTCACGACTTTGTAGCGGGCATTTTCAGGTCGTCAGTCTGAGAAATCTAAGTTGCTCCTCAAACTCAGACCTCAACTTCTTGATCCAGCGACTCCTCAACTCCTCAACCAGACCCGACTACTCGTTGTGCATCTAAATCATCTACCTCCAAAACATTCAAAGCTCAACAAACGCATTGCTCAAACTCATAAGATATATCAATTTCAACTGGTCAAAGTAATCAAACCAAGCATGAAAGAAGTCTGATTTCAACCTTCATTTGACATTGATTAAACGGTGAACTGGGTCTGTCCTCAAAGGACTAACTAGATCTGATTACCCATACTGAGAAACCATTATAACCAGATAATTCAATTTGATTGATACTTTTGCTCATGATGGACTTGATGGTGGATCAAAAGCATCTCATTCAATTCATGTTACAAACTTATGTACTTCCCAATTCATCAACTTCAAAACATCAAAGTATTTTATTTGTTTTCTTGATTGTGATGTGTATAATGGTTCTCACAATTGGCTTTCAATTGGTTTGTAGTTATCTTGTTTTAGAAACTCAACTTCTGCTTCTGGATCTTTGATTAACAGTTCTTGTCATGCTGCCCATCTTATTTTGCGATGATGTGCACAGCAATAACTTCGTTTCTTGCTGTACATATCTCCAATGAGTTGCCGAGAAAGACTGACTCTGCTGAGGAATACCTCATTCGTAGTTATGTTACTTGTGAGATTCAAACTGAGACTTAATTGCTCAGCTTCAACCTCTGACAAAGCCTCCTATATGTTGAGTGCATCAAGTTTTGTTAATGTTTTATTCAACTTGACAGTACAAAATAGAAAACTTGGAAAGAAATTCTTTCTTTTTTATCTAACCTGGAAGTCAAGAGTGGAAAACTTGATCAACCCATGGCTAGATAGAGTCATCCAATTTCAATCTGAAAGTACAATCAAAAAATCAATCGATTCAAAACTTGAACAACTCTTCCAACAAGTGTATCACTAAAGATGTTATTGCTTTCTTTCTGATTCAACTTGAAAGTATAGAACTGTAAAACTTGATCAAGTCAACACCTGATCCACTCTACCAATGTGTGTATCATTCAAAGAAAAACCTATCTCACTGCACGAAGTGCAACTTCTCACATCTCATCTGAAGGAGATGAGTCGCATCTTGGTCATGGTGAAACAGAGAGAACGGAGAGAGAGAAAATGGAGAGAGGAGGAGACTATGCGAGGTGGGGTGTGACAGGCTTGCAACACCTAAGTCATGTAGGAGTTTTAGCCTTTTGGCATAGGCTTTTGGACTTTACGGTCATCACATGTAATATGCTTGTGACGATGCTGATAGTGAGGGTACTGTATTCTCAAATTCCCAGATTCCCAGATTCCCAGATTCCCAGGACGGAAACCCGGATCCTCTGGTGCTCCCCCATTTAAGATAACTTGTTTATATCCAATCTTTCTTCTATTGCTAGGTTTGAAGTTCTGAAAGCCTTAAGTCCTTCGAACACTGCTAGTACTACTCTTGTATCTTACCTTGCAACATCAAAAATAGGATGAAATATGTAGATAAGAGAGCTCGTGAGTATGTATGAAAACATATGAGGGTAAAGCCAATAGTGAGGAAGATAAGAGATACACAACGTGATGACATGAAAATAATGTCATTGTGTAGTTTTTGCGGTGGGCTTGATATATAGGTAAAGTTCTGCTCTCAGACTCTCATGAACTTGTTTCAGATCAAGAGAGACATATAAGTCGTGATTGGAAGGCATTTATTGGAATTCAAACAATTCATGATATTAATGAAGAATGTGAAGATTTGGTAGATTTGGTAGAACATCTGATTCTGGTGCTTATCCTCATGGAAATGCATTCTTACATTGAGATTTTGATTCTGATAGAATAAAGACCTTATGTTCATGATGTCAATTATGTTTGTCTAGAAAAGCTTGATAAAATACATACAGTCAAACCTCCCGAAATCCATACTCTTCCGCAGAGCCACTGGGTTATGGGTTTACAAGGTCTAGGTATAATTATGCATCTGCTAGAAAATCCTTTCAATACTAATACTATGGCTTTTTCAAAAACACCCTTCAAGACCATGAATTGTATATCTCTTTGGACAACCTCTCTAATACCATGAAGGGATGGCTTTTGGAGACTCCATTCCCATAAATATTATGGATTTAGAGCGTGATGCTCAATTAGGAAGACTGATTTTCAGAGCTTGATGGGCAGGTTAGGGCCAAATCATGGCTTTGGTGGTGATAAAAACTATTTTTTCTGAATATTTTGATATGGATTAACAGGATAGGGGGTTTAATCCAAGTTTGGCCCTGTAGCACAGATGTGGAAGTCATACCCTATGACTTTGGAGGGTTTATGTATTTAGTGAGTTATGGGCTTGGAGAGTTTTGACTGTAATCCATTTCTACTTGGGTTGTACATTTAGCTCTTTACTTTTTACACTTACTCTTCACAGATCATCTATCTTGTACAGTCTGTCTTATGTTGTTAGGCTTTTTCAGTCTAGTAACATGTTTGGGGAACAAGGTATATCTTTTTTTTGTTGTCAAGGCCATCATCAATCCTGGTGAGTGCATCAATTATGACCAATAGGTTGTTCTTCCACACAAAGTAGTTAGATTCTGTGTCAGGATCTTGTACTAGTCATGTACCACACCTAAAAAGGTTGTGATCAGTAGGTCATTTCAAAGATTGAATAGCTCAAGGTCATTCAGGAAGGCAACATATGATTTCATTGATTTTCTATCCTCCTCCAACCACATTGTCCATAGCACTAAGGACAATAGATTTGTGATGTTCAATCAGAGATCAGACAAATTAACAGGACAAAAAGTTTTCACCTGTAGGTGAGTCCATTCTGACTGCATGTGTCATCCTTGTGCAGGGGCCATGCTAATCTTATCTGTGTTGTTCCAATTTTGAAGAATGGCACTACTGAAGCGGACCAGAAGGCAACCACTCTGTTAGGTATATGTAGTAAGATGTAGAATGCAGAGTCCAAACCACAAGGCCCTACAACAACCCATCTGATATGTATGTACTTATCTAAACTGAATATTGCACAACAATCACCTTCAGGATTATCCAGTCACACATTTATTGAATGATCAAGTCACAAATCTTAATCCTGTCATTGCATCTTGGTGGTTTTGTTTGTAGTCACTGATGCAAATAATGATGTTGGGATGTTGAAATCTGGGGGCTTTGAAAATGCAGTTTGCTTGGTCTTGTAAGCTTTGGGTCAGAAACAACAACATGGATTGTTGACACAGAATTATGTCAGCTTTGCCACTGCAACATTTGGCTAGTTCTGTGTTGGATAGGAAACATGTGGAGTGATTGCACAAGGAGATCAAGCGCTTGGGTTTTGGTAATGACCCTAACCTTAACCCTAGCATCATGCTTCACCCAGATGACTCAAAGACCCAGATAGAGCCTGTGGGTGTTATTTGTTACAAATTGAGTTGCCTCAAGTGTTCTGTCAAGTTGCATAGCATGATCTTATTATGTCATGATTATTTGTCATTGCATTTGTCATTTATTTTCTTTTTGCTATATATGATACGTTGTCCTGGTTGCATTTCAATTCTTGTGTGTGTTTGACTTTTAGCCTTTATTTTCTTCTATAAAAGACACCTATGAGTCTCTAAAGGTTTGATCTTCATACATTCAAACCTTTTATCACTTAAAAGCTCCCTTAAATACTTACAACATATTTTGCTTTTCAGTGATTGACTCATATTGGGTTACTTAGAGCTCTCAAAATTTTCTTCGCATTGCAAGAAGAAGTTGTAGTTATCAATCTGTGGTGATGACAGGATGTATACACCTTTGAACCCCCAAGGTATGAGTTGAACATTTTTTATCTCACATAACAGACATGACTGCAGTACTTTATTGCTTGATGGGCCACAAAATAATGTTCCCAGCCTATTGTTGTCTTGGGAACCCTTTGCCCTTTCACTACTGCAAGTTGTTGCTTGCACAGTACAAAGCTCAATCTCATTTGGGGTGGGTGATTTGATTCCCCCAATGGCCATGATAATTTATTGGTGCACATGATTCAACTGAACTCACTCATAAAGGTAAGTAGTGGTACAATCAAAGAATATGTGAATGTGGATTGAAGGTTTTTGTACCATACAGTTTGAACAATGTGTTTCTAGGAAATCATTGGATATGCAGTCAGTGCCGTCTCCATGTGGTGGTCCAGAAAGCTTTTGTTGAGAAAACCAACAGAGGTGTACACTTCACAAGTGCCATGAATGGATTCTTCTACATTGGCTTGATTTGTGGATCCTGAACTTTAAAAGACACACACACATGGGTTGAGGCCTCTAGATCAATTTTCTATTATTTGATGTATTAAGTTCCAAAGCTAGGCCTTCCATGATGGACTGGGGCTA